CTCTTGCTTGTCATAGTCTAATAAGACCCCAGCAGTACAAAAACATAATCCTCTTTCTGGCGCAGTCAGGTAAAAATAAATAATTCATAATTCATAATACTTTATTGCTTCATTTGGTGAGAAGGTCTTAAGCTAATACATACGTATAATAATAATAGAAATAATAATAATATAGCCGTCAATAAAACACCTAGTGTCAATGAAAACGTTTCAGTTCCTGCACCCTCGTCAGATAATGTTCCGCCAATTGTGGACCGATTCGGTTGCTATGAGGCTATGTCGTTCACCCTCCGCCCACACACAGGTGGAGTTTGTCCCCTGTCTGGGAGAGGGTCTGAAAAAGATACGAATATAAAACTGTATGAATCATATCTTTCTTAACTAGTACACTCTTTAGTTGTAGTAAATTGTGTGGAAATAGGTATGATCAAAATCTATTTGTCTTTTGTTTTGCAATTAGCTGACCCGATGGACGTTGTCGTATCGACGAGATTCTGTTATAAAAGACATTTATTTTCTGTAAATAAGCTTTTAAAAAGCTCTTTTACACGCCTAATATAGCTTGTCACTTCGGGACTACATATTAGCTGGTGCTGAGAAGAAGTGGCGGTAGAAACTCAATCACCTTTGTCAGCCTCTAGAAAGCTGTATGAATTTTCTATTGCATCATCGAATTCGTAAATCAAAATACACAGCTATTTTATCATTATTAATAGCTAAATTAGTGGGTTCAACTAACTGTGGAACTTATTTTACTAATAAAAAAAAACCCAGATAACTTGTCCATTAGCGTTTCTACATAACGTCAAAATATCAACGAAAATCTAGTGTGCCTCTAGGGTCTGTCGAGCCCTGTTTTACGACGGCGCTATTGATTTTTATGTTCAAGCGCCTTTTTGTTTGTAACTTTTAACGCGGGGGAGTTTTCCGACATACGACCGTCTCGCTCCCCCGCGACGGAAAGTTGGTCAATTATGTTCTACCACAATAACCGAAGAAAGAGTAGGTTTGCTCTGCGAGGCACCACATGCTCACCAAAAAGTTGATAAAATAATATTTTCACTTTGTTAATGTTTTGTCACTTTCTGCCAAATTTTGACTGGGCAATGATGAAAAAAGACAAAAGAACAAAGTCATAAAATTCAACAATGATAAGGTTATAGCTGTAAACATTGTAAAACTGTGTTGAGTTGCATGAAACTTCTGCTGCAAATCCTAAGTAAGTAAGCATAAATGTAAGTATGCATTGGATTATTCCATTGCACTTGGTGCAGGATGCAAGCCTACTTCAAAATTGTATTTTGTGGTTACCTTCTCAAAGTTTCTCACTGCATATTCTATGTGAAGGTGTGTTCAACTTTTAGAACATTTAGATCAATAACGCTAGCTTTTCCGGACTGATTTTGCGAAACCACAATTTTACTTTTATGCCCACATACTACTACAGTATGATAGTTTTCTACTATGCCCCCTTCTCCCTTAATATTTTAGACGTTATAATATTATCTGTTTTTCCAGCTGCTCTCAAGAATTGGTTTCGTTTCTAGTTATTAATTTCCGCCCGGAACATCCCAACAAAATCCACGTGAATGGAGCCGACAGCATAATTTTTGGAGACAACAAAATGCTTATACTTATGAAGCAATAAATGATTATGATTATAAAAATACTATGCTGTGGCCTAGTAGTCTTTGCTGTGGCCCAAGCCCATCCGATTGATTAGACCTCCACCGTAGATAGATACCCCACGCTGCGACAGACAGTGTTGTAGCATCGATTAATTAGGTGGCTCATCCACGCCCTTGATTATAGTCGAACGAAACTCGATGTTCAAACAAAAGATAGTTTTAAAAAAAAAAAAAGAATTTTTAAATTGTTTGTTTACATACAACTAGAGATGGGTTTCCACCCGGGTAAAAACCCACATGAGGGTAAAAACCCAATAAAAACCCGTTTCATTCCACCCGTGGGTGTTTACACCGGGTGAAAACAAATAATTTTATAATTATTTCAATTGGTATCTTTTCTTTATTTTTATTGAATTTTNTACAGTATGATAGTTTTCTACTATGCCCCCTTCTCCCTTAATATTTTAGACGTTATAATATTATCTGTTTTTCCAGCTGCTCTCAAGAATTGGTTTCGTTTCTAGTTATTAATTTCCGCCCGGAACATCCCAACAAAATCCACGTGAATGGAGCCGACAGCATAATTTTTGGAGACAACAAAATGCTTATACTTATGAAGCAATAAATGATTATGATTATAAAAATACTATGCTGTGGCCCAAGCTCATCCGATTGATTAGACCTCCACCGTAGATACCCCACGCTGCGACAGACAGTGTTGTAGCATCGATTAATAAGGTGGCTCATACACGCCCTTGATTATAGTCGAACGAAACTCGATGTTCGAATAAAAGATAGTAAAAAAAAATATTAATAAGAGAATTTTTAAAGTTTGTTTACATAGCTCAGAACGTGATTTGAAAGAAAAGACCCTGTAAAAACATGGTAGCCTATAAATATGGTCTAAGAATCGAGAGCCGAATAAATTGATAGTCAATTTGATTATGTCATGCATGAGACCAGTGGTTTATTTTTTATTAAATCGGAAAAGAGTATTGTTTTCGGTTGCTCAACTTTTTTCGATTTTATGTGGGAAAATAAGTTCAAGATCTTGCAACATTTATTTGTTATCTGTGTGTGGTTACCTGACAGTAAATTAAAAAATGTCATGACAGCAGAAAGTTTCAAAAAGTTGGTGAAAATGTGGAAAACTTTATTTCTTTCTTACATTACTGTCTTTAAAACCCACAAGGTTTTCCTTCTCAAGGTACACAAAATAGTAGGTATTGCTACATAATATTGTCGTGGTATCAATTTCTTGGGTGAGGGATCCAAACTTTTTATTTGAATTCTTTCAGGCTCTTTTCGCTTGTTTGTTGAGAAGTACCTACATGTCTGGTCTGGATAATATCTCTTCTAAGTTTCGTGCCCCATAGCGCCCCGTTTCGTATACTCCAACCCTCCTAACTCTAGGTATAGTTACATATTTTGTGGTAGATTCAAATTCGCAGTCGTTTCTCGGAGCGAAGTAACCATTTTAACCCGATCGAGCTAAGTGCGTGCGCACCTCGCTTGAATGCGATTCCCTTGCACTCACCCGCACACCTCCCCGCGTTCGCTCCCATAACAGAGCGTCGATGTGACGTCACGGCTGCCATAACAGAGCGTCGATGTGACGTCACGGCTGCCATAACAGAGCGTCGATGTGACGTCACGGCTGCCATAACAGAGCGTCGATGTGACGTCACGGCTGCCATAACAGAGCGTCGATGTGACGTCACGGCTGCCATAACAGAGCGTCGATGTGACGTCACGGCTGCCATAACAGAGCGTCGATGTGACGTCACGGCTGCCATAACAGAGCGTCGATGTGACGTCACGGCTGCCAGGTGCGCAGTTAACTTGACCGCACAAAAAACTTAGAACGAAACGTCAATGAGGGCTATCGTTTTTATACTTAACAGTTGGCACCCCTGGCGATTGACAGGACCTTACTCTACAGTGGCGCCATCTTGAGGAGTGCAAATGCGATAGTCCTCCTACCACTTTAGCGCTCACAAGTTGGTGCCACTGTCTTCGCTACTAGCAAGTGACAGGACCTTACTCTACAGTGGCGCTGAATTCCGGCAGTACAAACGTTATGTATCAAAGAATTTGCGATATTCTGGAAAATCAACTGTAAACATCGTATAGTCCCGATTAATCGGGAAGTTTTTGCGATTTGCCATTAGGCAAGATGCCACCAAACCAGAATCACATCCATAACAAATAATATACTTTGCAGAGTCACACCCATCCAGAGTCGCACCCATTACGGCTTATTTTTGTTTTATTCTCGCTTTAAAAATTTTTGAGTCGCGAGGCCCCTTGTACCGCGAGGCCGTAGGCGGTGGCCCACATCGCCCACGCTTAACGCCGCCTCTGCCTATAAATATGATCTAAGAATCGAGATTCGAGAGCCGAATAAATTGATAGTCAATTTGATTATGTCATGCATGAGACCAGTGGTTTATTTTTGATTGAAACGAAAAAGAGAATTCGACTTTTTACGATTTTATGTGGGAAAATAAGTTCAAGTTCTTGCAACATTTATTTGTTATCTGTGGGTACAATGACATTAAATAAAAAAAATATCTTAACAGCTGACAGGTGACAGTAGAAAGTTTCAAAAAGTTGGTGAAAATGTGGAAAAACTTTTATGAGCTTTATTAGTTGTTTCAATTAGGCATTAATTTCTTCCATGCCATCTTATAAATCAAGGTATCACTCAAGTTTTTCCTATCAAGCTCCACAAAACAATATTGTTGCTTGTGTAAAATTGTCGTATTATCAATTTGCTGGGTGAGACTTTTTAATTAAATTCTTTCAGCCTCTTTCCGATTGTTTTAAGAAGTACATGTCTGCATAATATCTCTCCTAACCCTAGATAAAGTTACATTTGTGGCAGATTCAATTTCGCAGTCGCTTCTCAGAGCGAAGTAACCATTTTAACCCGATCAAGCTAAGTGCTGCTCGCTTGAATGCGATTCCCTCACACTCACCCGCACACCTCCCAGCGTTCGCCCTGTCCGTACCAGAGCCCCGATTACGGTAACTTTTAACGTTTCCAATCCAGACGCGTTTCTGATTCTGCGATACGATTGGTCAAAACAGCTGACGTACGCTGTTGAACGACCAATCGTATCGCAGAATCGAGAAGCGTGTCTGGATTGGAGACGTTAAAAATTACCGTAATCGGGGCTCAGAGCGTCGATGTGACGTCACGGCTGCCAGGTGTGCATTTAACTTGATTGGGTTGCAGTTACGTACAAAAAAACTTAGAACGAAACGTCAATTGCATAGTAGGGTACTGTCCCCATATTTCGCTCTAGTGTTTGTATAAAAATTCTTTAAAAGAAATATTTATTAACACATTCTTTTCTTTCTTTACAGGTATATAAACAAAAAAATCAATCGGTCCCAGTATTAAAACTATACAATCTAGTCTAAATAGTTTCTACTTAAAAAGTATTGTTTGTACTTAAAAATAAAGCTTAAAAAACTGTGATAATTTTCATGGACGTTTATACCAAGTGCAATTTATAGACTAATGTCAACGGCCAAAGATAAAATATAAGTAATTATTATGTTGTCCAATTGAACGGGAAACAAAGATGGCGGCGGCACCACAACAGTTCTGCGTTCGGTGGAACTCTTACCACACAAACTTACAGGTGAATATTGTTTGATTTTTAAGGCTCAGTTGCACCATCTAACTCCAACCATAACTATAACTATTAAAGTCCTATTGCTCGCTAGTGGCGCCAACTGGTAAGGTCATTTATTTATTTTTATTTTATTTGTTTAACAATGTTGTCATTATTTAGGATAACTTAAGGACTCAGCACCCAAGCTACTTTTAGCATCGGCGTAGTAAGAGCGCTTTCACATTTAGGCGACTTTAGCAGCGCGACAAATGCGCGACAGACGCGCTGCCGATAATTTCATACTATGTGACAGCGGATGCCTGCCTTCACATTATAAAAACGCCGCTGCCGCGCTGCTGTCGCGCTACTAACGCCCTAATGTGAAAGCGCTCTTAAAGTAGTGCTGTGGTGAACCACTTACCAAACTTTACTGCTCGAGTAATACATGTTTATTTAATTCCAGGCGGTGTTCCCCCGGCTGCTATTGACGGAGCAGTTTGCTGACGTCACATTAGCATGCGAGTCGCGGCAACTGCGCTGCCACAAGCTCGTCCTGTCGGCATGCTCGGCCTACCTCGAGCGGCTGCTGCTGCACAACCCGTGCGACCACCCTATCGTGCTGATGCGAGACATGAGGTGACGTCACAGTAGGGGTCAAGAAAAACCTCACTAAATCTCACGTAGGGGAGAGGGGGGGTCTCGATAATCACGTAATTTTTTCAGCAAGAAAAGGGTCAAATTGCGAGAAAACTGGGTTATTTTAAATTTAAAAAAAAATATGATTTTAAGATGATAATGATAAATGCTGCATAACCCGTGCGACCACCCCATCGTGCTGATGCGAGACATGAGGTGACGTCACTGTAGTGTTGGCCACGTGACATCCACTGTTGGACAAGCCTCCCCCAAAGATTTTCATAACGACTGGTCCTACTCTCTCCACATACAGCATTTCTCTTCTCACGTGAGAATCCCTGCGAGCAACCCATAGTGCTCATGCGAGACATGAGGTGACGTAGGGGGCGTCCATTAATTACGTGAGACAATTTTGGCAAATTTTCAACCTCCCCGCCCCCCTTGGTGAGATTTAGTGGGATTTTTCCAGACCCCCTCCCCCTCCCCACAATCTCACGTGAGATTTCTTAAAAGACATATTTGCAATGTAAGGGTTAGCTTCGATTAGGATTTCATAAGTATAAAAAAACCATTTCTTCTAATTTCTTTACTGTTTAGATGGTTTAGCTCCAACTTCGATTGTCATCGACGAACCTATGGACAAAGTTGGCGAATGAATTTTGATGGCGTGATTTCTCGGAATTTGACCCTTTTTCTTGCTGAAAAAAATTATGATATTTAATGAGACCCCCCCTCTCCCCTACGTGAGATTTAGTGAGGTTTTTCTTGACCCCCTACCTCCCCTAGACGTCTCACGTAATTAATGGACGCCCCCTAGCTGAAGAATATTCTTTCTTGCTTCTTGGTGCATCATCATCATTTCAGCCACAGGACGTCCACTGCTAAACATTGGCCTCCCCCAAGGACTTCCATAATGACCGGTCCTGCGCCGCCCGTATCCAGGAGATTCTCATGATAGAACCAATGTGAGCACCCCATTGTACTCATGAGAGATATAAGGTGACGTCACTGTAGTCCCGGCCACGTGACATCCAGTGCTTTACGAAGGCTTACAAAAATTTCCACAACAACCAGTCCTGTGCTGCCCACATGGTATCCCTTCCATTCGCATAATGTTTTTACTACTAATATACTTTGGCATAATTTTTTTTCGCATAATTTTTCTTCGCATAATTTTTCTTTGAAAATTATAAATAACTTGAAAAAATCGAACTGCCTAAGGCGGGAATTTGACTTTGTCATAAATAATAATAATACAGGGTGTTTGGCGCATCGTGTGCCAAAATGATTTGGCGGATAGAATGGGTCATTTCCTATATTTTCAGCCCCCATAACACGTTCCATGTCAGGCGGCTACTTTTATATTAAGTTTTTTAGTAATTTCACCAAAATACCCAAATCGCATCATTTAATTTCGATTTAAAAAAAAACTACTAAGCGTAGCCTCAAAGTAAATATTTTGTTTTTGACAGGACCTTACTCTACAGTGGCGCCATCTTGACGAGTGCAAATGCGATAGTCCTCCTACCACTTTAGCGCTCACCAGTTGGTGCCACTGTCTTCGCTACTAGCAAGTGACAGGACCTTACTCTACAGTGGCGCAAACTGGTGAGCGCTAAAACGATAGCCCTCATTGCATAGTAGGGTACTGTTCCCGTATTTCGCTCCAGTGTTTCCATAAAAATTCTTCAAAAGAAATATTTATTAATACATTCTTTTCTTTCTTTACAGGTATATAAACAAAAAAATCAATCGGTCCCAGTATTAAAACTATACAATCTAGTCTAAATAGTTTCTACTTAAAAAGTATTGTTTGTACTTAAAAATAAAGCTTAAAAAACTGTGATAATTTTCATGGACGTTTATACCAAGTGCAATTTATAGACTAATGTCAACGGCCAAAGATAAAATATAAGTAATTATTATGTTGTCCAATTGAACGGGAAACAAAGATGGCGGCGGCACCACAGCAGTTCTGCGTTCGGTGGAACTCTTACCATACAAACTTACAGGTGAATATAATTTGCATTTTAAGGTTGAGTTGCACCATCTAACTTTAACCGTAACTATAACAATAACTGGTGTTTTTTGTTTAGATTTTGACAAATTTTTGATGTTTTATTTCATTAATTAAGATAGGTGTTATATTTTATTAATGAGGGTCATCAGTTGGTACCACTGCTGTCGTGTAAGATCCTATCGTTTGCCAGTGGCGCCAACTAGTACCTAACTAAGGTCACTATGTAGGACAAATTAATGAAGGCCACAGCACCCATGTTTCTTTTAGCATCGGCGATATTGCGACTGTATCGATGTAGCATCGCGGTTTCGCGACTTCGGTTTTGCGGTATCGGAATCGCGCGTTAAGCGACTGCTGTCGCTGTGAGCGCCGATTTAATTGCTTTTCGGAAGCAACTCAATTGCTGCGTTAAGCGTTTTTAAGTGTATGGTGTGGAATAACTATGTGGTCGCTGCATTCAGCTTCTAAAAAGCGGCTAATAGTCGATCGCCGATGCTTAAAGTAGCGTGTGTGCTGTGGCTCTTAATGGATCACTTACACACTATACTGCTTAATTAATAATACATGTTTATTTAATTCCAGGCGGTGTTTCCCCGGCTGCTATTGACGGAGCAGTTTGCCGACGTCACATTAGCATGCGAGTCGCGGCAACTGCGCTGCCACAAGCTCGTGCTGTCGGCGTGCTCGGCCTACCTCGAGCGGCTGCTGCTGCACAACCCGTGCGACCACCCCATCGTGCTGATGCGAGACATGAGGTGACGTCACAGTAGGAGGGCGTCCATTAATTACAGAGGGGGTCAAGAAAAACCTCACTATCAGATGAGGGGAGAGGGGGGGTCTCGATAATCACGTAATTTTTTCAGCAAGAAAAGGGTCAAATTGCGAGAAAACTGGGTTATTTTAAATTAAAAAAAAATGATTTTAAGATGATAATGATAAATGCTGCATAACCCGTGCGACCACCCCATCGAGCTAATGCGAGACATGAGGTGACGTCACTGTACTAACTAGGGTGATCGCTATAGTAATTAGCCAATACATAGTTATTGGCTGTGCCGGTATGCATAATACTTAATCTCTTCATATCTTGGCACATTGGCCAACATGGCACATTGACCAACTTGCCTAAAATGAAAAAACACAAGCCTAATGGAAGTTATTAAGAGAGGAAAAGAGACAAATATTTTTTCTGAGCAATACGCAGTCCAATGTAGTACCTAAATATTTTTGTCTCTTATTAACAATCCAATATGCCAATAACTATGTATAGGCTAATTACTATAGCAGGGCATTTCTCTGTAAGCTCGTACAGGTCCCATACAAATGCTGTCCTGGCAATTATTTTTTAACATTTTCCAAAAAACCGTGATCCATTTCAAAGAAAATTGTCTATTATTTTAGTTAGATAAGGAGTCCCACTGAAATTATTAATATTTTCCGAGTTATTAGCGATTTTCCAAGAAATCATGACAGGGGACTGTTAATTGAGACAGAGGACTGTTATACTTTAAGAAAAAGTCATTTTAAATTGATCAATTATTTATTATTTTATAGCAAATCAATAGTAAACAAAATTTCTTTATAAAAAATTAACAGAAATAACAACTTTCCTTAATAAACATTCATATCAAAAATTAACCTTAACCTCTGAGGCACTGAATTCCGAGTACCACCCGTTCCTGCTATTTCATCATCAAATCTTTGAGGGGAATTTGTGGTCAATTCAGGTTCAGCAGATTAAAGATTTTCCGTTATAATGCTCACAAGAACCACTGTTGCAAAAGCAGCTGACACTTTTCATTGTTAGTCATCAACATCATTTCAGCACTGGACGTCCACTGCTGAACATAGGCCTCCCGCCCTCCCCCAATGACTTCCACATCGCACAGTTGGTAGAGCGGCCTGCATCCAACGCCTTCCTGCTACCTTTATGAGGTCGTCGGTCCACCCACAAGGTGGCTCGGTGTCGCTTGTCTCTCGCTGCGTTTTCCGGTACATGGCCTCTACTCCAGAACCTTGCTGCCTCATTGTTAGTGTTTTATATTTATTTGGAAAGCCGAGGATGGACCAGGAATGAATACTTGCGACCTGATGCACATATTTGTGCAATTTCAGGCAGAGGACTGTTGCCAGGGGACTGTGTATTTCGGCTAGATTTCACAATATTTACGAAAATGATGTTAAATAGTGTTTTAAGAATCTACCGATCAATTGAGACGTAAATATTATATCAATTTATACTTTATTTAGAGATTATTAAGTAATTAACATGCATATTATGACTTACCAGAGGACTGTGTGTGGTAGCGATTCAAGCGCGTGTTCACCTCACAAATGACGCTCTGACACTAAAAAAATAGGCATCTCAACGCCGCATTCGGCAAGGTTGCCTATTTTATAGCAATTGCATTTCATTTCACTCAAAAAAAAACATCGTAGCTATTATAGTTTTTTTATATTATGAATTTAAATTTTTGGCAGGGGACTGTATTAAAATTCTGGGGACAAAGTTTACAGGAGTTTACTAAATAAATAAAATTGGTAATGAGAGCTTGTTTTACGAAAATAATATAATTTCATTATTATTCTTTATGCTATGAGCTGCCAGATGTATGTAGTTTCAATATCTTCTTCGTAAATCTCATTTCTAGGCGGAAATGCAGTGATGGGGACAGCCAGGGGACTGTATTTTTCGGGCTTCAATCGAGTCTAGAAAAAAACTAAAAATAGTTATGGTTCTAAAAACAAAGGGCCCGTAAAGTTTTGGGGTTAAAGTTTCATTACGAGTGTGTTTTTTTTTAATATTTTAATTGCTTTTTGAAAAAATCGGCCGGGACAGCCGATTACGAGCTTACAGAGAATCGCCCAGCAATCACCCTACACTAGCGTGCGAGACGCGGCTACTGCTCCACAACCCGTGCGAGCACCCCATCGTGCTGATGCGAGACATGAGGTGACGTCACTATAGTGTAGGCCACGTGACATCCACTGTTGGACAAATGCCTCCCTCAAAGATTTTTATAACAAATCGTTCTGCGCTGCCCACATCAAGCTACTCTCACGACATAATCCCCTGTGAGCACTTATCGTGTTTATGTGAGACATGAGGTGACGTCACAGTCACTTTCAAGGAGTTAAGTCAAACCACCTAAAAATAAACCTAAAAAATCTGACTAGCCCCCCCATCCTAGGCCAGAAGCTGGGTATGACTTGCCCTGCTAGGCCAGAAGCTGGCTGCAACTCCTGTGTAGCTTATACCTAGGAATCTGTTCTTGTCAACTGATAAATCCTCTCCTGTAGATGTGCATGTGGATTGAGTGATCCTTGCTTCAATCTTAACAAAAATCGAGGAAGTTTTACTTAAAATATGTTAAAACATTGCGATGAAGTTTCAAAATTTGTTAAACCTAAGATAAAAANAGGAAATGACCCATTCTATCCGCCAAATCATTTTGGCACACGATGCGCCAAACACCCTGTATAACTTGAAGTTAAAATGGGTTAAGATGCGTCGGGAATGGCCCTTGGGCCTGCCCTTAAGCCGCCTATTTTTTATATAAAAAAAAATAAAAAATATGCGTAAGTATCATTATGCGTACCTAATTACATTCTGCCAAGATAAATTATTATGGCTAAAAATTGTATGCAAGTGGATAAAGCATTTCATTACCTACCATTTCTTTGTCCTGTACCTGCTGTTATAAATGTTTCTGTGCCAAATCTCTATTCTATTCTAATCAAACTCGTTATTGGTGCAGGTTCAGCGAGATGCAAGCGCTGGTAGACTTCATGTACAAGGGCGAAGTAAACGTCACGCAGGAGGAGTTGCCCAGTCTTCTTAAATCNCAATGTATTAACATATTTTAAGTAAAACTTCCTCGATTTTTGTTAAGATTGAAGCAAGGATCACTCAATCCACATGCACATCTCCTGTAGGCCTAAGATGCGCGCCGCGATAAGCAGTTATCACGTCATTTTATCGATTTTGCCCATACATTTTGACGTCGATAAAAGTTATCACCGCGCGCATCTTAGGCCTACAGGACTGGACATACCAACCACTGATTCAATTGCCTCTGTAGTCGAGAGGTAATGACATCTCAGACCCAGAGGTCCTGGATAAAATTTCATTTATATTCGTCACATGTCAAAAATTAATTCATAACAGCTCGTTATTGTTTCAGGTTCAGCGAGATGCAAGCGCTGGTAGACTTCATGTACAAGGGAGAAGTAAACGTCACGCAGGAGGAGCTGCCCAGTCTGCTTAAATCCGCTGAAGCCTTGCAGATCAGAGGTAAGTCACTCTAACATCTGTTTTAGGGTTCCATAGAACGAACCTAGCCATCTCCCTGAAGCCTTGCAGATCAGAGGTAAGTCACTCTAACATCTAAAACTCAGTAAAACTCATTTATTTCTGTAAGTAGGCTTTAAAAAAGCACTTTTACACGTCCCAGTATTAACCCTACCACTGCTTCAGGACAATAAATGGGCCAGTGCTGAGAAGAAGCAGCGCAAGAAACTCAGACACTATTGTCAGCCTCTTTTTAAAATGTTTACAGGTTTTCAAAATACATAGTTATAAATATTTATGCAAGCTAGGCAGTTACGCATCCCAAACATTTTTATCTTTTAAATAATCATCGACTTTATAGTAGCCCTTTTTCATTAAGGTACTTAAGTCACTTTAACATCTGTTTTAGGGTTCCATAGAACGAACCTAGCCATCTCCCTGTGTGTTAGCCAAGACTCTTTTACTCAGGAGTTCTTGGGATTCGTTCGTTCGTTTCAGCCAAATGACGTCCACTGCTGGACAAAGGCCTTTCAAAAGGATTTCCATAACGTGGGAGGTATCAAGTTTAAATTGATATCGGTTAGTCAGCTCTGCAATCCCTTGATCCCTGAAAATGGTACCCTTAATTTTCCTTAATTTCCATATTTTTCGTTTACTAAATCATTGATTGTCATAGACCGCAGTAACCATTCACCACAGCAACTAGCTAGGATGCGCTCCATGACGATATTGTTATTGAGGCATTCGTCTTCTAAAAGCTATCCACGATAACATTTATGGTGGTGCGCCCTAACCCAGCTGGAATGGGTAAAAATCGGGATTCTGTTATTAATAGAATTCTACATTGTATCTGATGAACCGTACCGCCTATGGTACGAAGTTCGCCGGGTCAGCTAGTAGTGTATCTGTCTTAATTCGTCCAGGACTGTGCTCCGGCGAGGCGGCGGCTGCGGAAGGCGCTCGAGCGGACTCCACCAAAGACTTCACGGTCGCGAGTGACGCTCTCGTCGCGCACGCCACCGGCAACGCCGGCAACGGTGAGCATTTACAGGGTAACACAATACTATACAGGGTAACACATGGAAAATCTTACAGGATAACACTTAGAGGGAGACACTTACAGGGTAACACTTAGGGAGACACTTACAGGGTAACACATGGCCACTCGTACGGGGTGACACTTAAGGAGGCACTTACAGGATCACACTTATGGAGACACTTACAGGGTAACACATGGCCACCCGTACGGGGTGACACTTAAGGAGGCACTTACAGGATAACACTTATGGAGACACTTACAGGGTAAAACTTAGGGAGACACTTACAGGGTAACACTTAGGGTGACACTTACAGAGTAACACTTAAGGAGACACTTACAGGGTAACACTTAAAGAGACACTTACAGGGTAACACTTAAGCAGACACTTACAGGGAAACTCTTACAGGTAACACTTACCGGGTAACACTAACTTACAGGGTATGAGGGTATTACATAGAGGGTCACTCTTACAGGGAAACAAAAATAGAGTAACACTTACAGGAAAACAAAAATAGGGTAACACTTACAGGAAAACATTAATAGGGTGACAGATACAGGGCAAACGCTTACAGAGAAACACATGCAGGATAACACATAGGTACTGGGAAACAAATGAAGAGTGACACTTACAGGGAAACTCATACAGGGTAACATTTACATAAAGGATAACACTTACATACAGGGCAACACATAAATACACTAATTTTACTATTATTTTTTCACAACCAAATTCAAAAAAGGTTTTAATTATCCTTTATCTAAATATTCACACCTCGTTAAAAATAAAGAAATTTGAATTTTGTATTGAATCTATGTGATTCCCACAGGCCCAGCCCCGGCCAAAGCCACGCCAAACCACGCCACGCCCAACGGACACAAGAAACGCAAGTCGGAGGAGCGGCCCGAAGTGAAGGAGGAGACTGTGGAGGAAGACGGACTGTACTACGGAGAACTGGACCCTGAACACATGGAATATAATGAGGTCAGTCACTTTCACAGTCCCAGGTTTGACTCCTACGGGGACAAAGTTTTCTACAGTACTCCGAGTCAAGCACAAAGCATAACCAGGTCAGTTACTCTTTATCTACAGCTTACTCCGTGCTTAAGCACCTCTGTGCCTCTGCCCCTTGACAGTCACTTTTCACAGCATTTGACCTACGTGTTCTACTGGTAAGACAGCCTATCTCAGACCTGGAGGTAGTCAGTCACTCTCATAGCCTCTGTGGTGTAGTACCAAGTCTTATGCCCTTTATCACCATCAATCCCTATTTTTAAGTGACCCCTTTGAAAACAAAATTCCTGTTGTGTGCCCATAAGGGTCACTTAAAAATTAGGGATTGATGGTGAAAACGGGCATTAGAGACGCCCAGAGGTAACACTGATAGGGTATCACTCACTGGGAAACACATACAGTGTAACACAGGATGACCACTTACAGGGTAACACAGGGTGACCACTTACAGGGTATCACTAACATGCAGGGTGACACATGCAGGGTAACTTACATTTTTTTATGCAGGACAAGGCAGGTATTTGACCGCATACATGCAGGGAAACAGTATCAGGGTAACACATACCTCTGTGGTGTAGTAGCAAGTGGTAACACCTAAAGAAACTGTGAAGCCACTACAAACCACGCCACAAACTAAAGTGTACCTACTTTAAAAACTGTATAATAAATTTTTAATTTTTATATATTTTTTCATAGGACGAGGAACCGGGAAAACCTGGAAGCAGTCTGGGACAAACTTCAGGTGAGTTTTCAAATTATTTTTACAAAAGAATAACTATTTTTATTTTTCTTTTTTCTTTTAAAAATCAATGTTTGTTTGCAATGTGACTTCTCTGTCACTTTGCCTTTTATTTTGGTGCTTCGAATAGCTTTTTATTTATTTTAATAAATTTTTTACTTCGATTTTTTTATGTTTTAAAAAGTCGTTAGTCAATGTGTAATTACTTGTGGAATTTTGCGATTATTATTGGATTTTTTTTATAAATATCGAGCTTTTCGAAGGACTATTTTTTAACTTTCGCGTTTATAAAATGTTATTGTTATTTTTCAAACGATTGGATGCGTTTATTTTTATTAAAAAGTGTGCGTGTACGAAGATCATATTGTGAATGGACATTGTCTCAAAAAATACAAGAAAAAAATGCGAAAAAACGAATGTCTGTAAGGTAGGCTAATTTTGTATTAATTCGTGATTTATTTAGTAGAAATAGATGAACCATGAATGTTAAACGGTTTTTTTTGTTTATTTTTTTACAACGCAGGACTATCTTACAGACATTGGTCTTTTTTTGATTTTTTTTCGTTACCGCACTAGCATTCATGGTTCGCAAATGCATGGAGTCGTTTACGCTGAATATTTTTTTGTATATATATATTTTTTTTTAGGTCGCCGCGTGCCTTACATCAGAGTGAAGCCGGAGAGCGAGTTATTCTTCCAAAACAAACTGCAAAGCTTAGCGAAAGCGAATTCTGAGTACATAAGCCGACTGTCCAAAATGAATCCATCNAAATTTATCGTTTACTAAATCATAGATTGTCATAGACCGCAGTAACCATTCACCACAGCAACTAGCTAGGATGCGCTCCATGACGATATTGTTATTGAGGCATTCGGCTTCTAAAAGCTATCCACGATAACATTTATGGTGGTGCGCCCTAACCCAGCTGGAATGGGTAAAAATCGGGATTCTGTTATTAATAGAATTCTACATTGTATCTGATGAACCGTAATGCCTATGGTACGAAGTTCGCCGGGTCAGCTAGTAGTGTATCTGTCTTAATTCGTCCAGGTCTGTGCTCGGGCGAGGCGGCGGCTGCGGAAGGCGCTCGAGCGGACTCCACCAAAGACTTCACGGTCGCGAGTGACGCTCTCGTCGCGCACGCCACCGGCAACGCCGGCAACGGTGAGCATTTACAGGGTAACACATGGCGGCACTTACAGGGTAACACTTGGGGAGATACTTACAGGGTAACACTTAGGGAGACACTTACAGGCTAACACTTAGAGGGTCACACATACTGGGTAACACTAAGAGGGTCACACATACTGGGTAACACTACGGAGACACTTACAGGGTAACGCTTAGGGAGACACTTATAGGGTAACACTTAGGGTGACACTTACAGGGCAACAGTTAGGGTGACACTTGCATGGTAACGCTTAGGGAGACACTTATAGGGTAACACTTAGGGTGACACTTACAGGGTAACACTTAGGGTGACGCTTACAGGGTAACGGTTAGGGAGACACTTATAGGGTGACACTTAAGGAGACACTTACAGGATAACACTTATGGAGACACTTACAGGGTAAAACTTAGGGAGACACTTACAGGGTAAAACTTAGGGAGACACTTCAGGGTAATACTTAGAGGGTCACACTTACTGGGTATCACTTACGGGGAAACACAAGGTAACCCTTACATACTGGGTAACGCTTACAGGGAAACGCAAACAGGGTACCATTTAGGGAGACACTTACAGGGTAACGCTTAGGAAGATACTTACTGGGTATCACTTACGGGGAAAAACAAGGTAACTCTTACATACTGGGTAACGCATACGGGGTAGTACTTACAGAGAAATGCAGACAGGGTAACACTTACATACAGGGTAATATTAACAGGGAAACAAAAATAGGGTAACACTTATAGGGAAACATTGACATGGTGACAATTACAGGGAAAACGCTTACAGGGAAACATTATACAGGATAACACATACGGGGAAACAAATAAAGGGTGACACTTACAGGGAAACTCATACAGGGTAACATTTACATAAAGGATAACACTTACATACAGGGCAACACATAAATACACTAATTTTACTATTATTTTTTCACAACCAAATTCAAAAAAGATTTTAATTTATCCTTTATCTAAATATTCACACCTCGTTAAAAATAAAGAAATTTGAATTTTGTATTGAATCTATGTGATTCCCACAGGCCCAGCCCCGGCCAAAGCCACGCCAAACCACGCCACGCCCAACGGACACAAGAAACGCAAGTCGGAGGAGCGGCCCGAAGTGAAGGAGGAGACTGTGGAGGAAGACGGACTGTATTACGGCGAACTGGACCCTGAACACATGGAATATAACGAGGTCAGTCACTCTCACAGCGTCTGAAGTCAAGTAGAATGTCTTAGGAATGCCCAGCGGTGAAAGAGGAAACTGTAGACCCTCCATGGATTAAGCACGAGGTTAGTTATTCTTGCAGCCTGTTAAAACCACCTTGGTGATCTCTGGCGAGACCACCTGTCAGACCCAAAGGTATAGTCTGGTCTGCGAGCACGTAGAATTTTGTCCAATGACCCCAAGCTACCCATCCTTATCGCTCGCACGTAATTATGTTGCCCCCGTCGCACAGTCGCGACAGCAATATAATTACGCGCGAGCGATAAGGATGGGTAGCTTGGAGTCATTGGACAAAATTCTACGTGCTCGCAGACCGGGCTTTAGTCACTCTTTACAGCTGCGGCAGTCAATGGCAAGACCACCATTAGGTGATTAGATACTCCTACAACTTTTAACCTTTGTGGTCTGCTTGTGACAACGCCTGTCGCAGACCTAGAGGTAGTCAGTCACTCTTACAGCCTCTGTAGTCTAGTAGCAAGTCGGTGGAGCGGCCCGAAGTGAAGCAGGAGACTGTGGAGGAAGACGGACTGTACTACGGTGAACTGGACCCTCAGCACATGGAGTATAATGAGGTCAGTTGCTTTTACAGGACCTAGGTTTGATTCCCAAGAAGGACAAAATTTAAATAAGTAAGTACGTCAGTCACTTTAACAGCGAGCCAGCCTTAGTGGTCTTATGGCGTGAGCACCTGTCAAACTATGAGCTGATCAGTCACTCTTATTTATAGCCTCAAGGTTTTTAAAACCAACCACCTTGAGGTGGTTAGCTACTCTTACAGCCTCGGTGGTCTACTGGTAAGACCACCTATCAGATCCAGGGGTGGTAAGTTACTCTTACAGCCGCAACGGTCAGTGGCAAACCCAACTGTCAAACCATTAGGTCAATCACTCTTTAAAGCCCTCTGGGCCTCTGTGGTCTATTGTCAGACCCAGAGGTGGTCAGATACTTACAACCTTTAGACCGGAGAATGGAGTATAATGAGGTTAGTCGCTTTTACAGCCCCAGGTTTGATTCAAGGTTTTCCCAGGAATCTAGGTTTGATTCCCAACGGGGCCTAAATTTTCTACTGGAGCCCCCATGGAGTAGGCAGGTACGAGGTCAGTCACTCTCACAGCCTCTTACTGCTTTGGTGGTCTTCTGGAGTAGATAATCACCTGTCAGACTGAGATATGGTCAGTTATTACAGTTTCTGAGGTTTAGTAGCAAGCCTTAGGGACGCCTAGAGGTGACACTGATTGCAGATGTGGTCAGTTATTACAGTTTCTGAGGTTTAGTAGCAAGTCTTAGGAACGCCCAGAGGTGACACTGACAAAGTATCACTGGGAAACACATACAGGGTAACACAGGGTGACCACTTACAGTGTAACACTTACATGCATAGTGACACTTATATAAATGCTGCGAAACAGTAACAGGGTTAAACATACATCTGTGGTGTAGTAGCAAGTGAAAGAGACGCCTAAAGAAACTGTGAAGCCATGACAAACTATGCTACAAACTAAATATGCATTTTAAAAACTGTATAATAAATTTTTAATTTTTATATATTTATTCGTAGGATGAGGAACCGGGAAAACCTGGGAGCAGTCTTGGACAAACTTCAGGTGAGTTTTCTTATTATTTTTATTAGAAAAACTATTTTTATTTTTTTCTTTTAAAAATTCAATGTTTGTTTGCAATGTGACTTCTCTGTCACTTTGCCTTTTATTTTGGTGCTTCGAATAGCTTTTTATTTATTTTAATATTCTTTTTACTTCGAATTTTTTATGTTTTAAAAAGTCGTTAGTCAATTTGTAATTTCTTGTGGAATTTGCGATTATTATTGGAACATTTTTATAAATATCGAGCTTTTCGAAGGACTTAAAAATATTTTTAAACATTCGCGTTGATAAAAATGTTTTTGTTATTTTTCAAACGATTGGATGCGTTTATTTTGATTAAAAAGTGTGCGTGTACGAAGATCATATTGTGAATGGACATTGTCTCAAAAAATACAAGAAAAAAATGCGAAAAAACGAATGTCTGTAAGGTAGGCTAATTTTGTATTAATTCGTGATTTATTTAGTAGAAATAGATGAACCATGAATGTTAAACGGTTTTTTGTTTATTTTTTTACAACGCAGGACTATCTTACAGACATTGGTCTTTTTTTGTTTTTTTTTCGTTACCGCACTAGCATTCATGGTTCGCAAATGCATGGAGTCGTTTACGCTGTATATTTTTTTGTATATATATATATTTTTTTAGGTCGCCGCGTGCCTTACATCAGAGTGAAGCCGGAGAGCGAGTTATTCTTCCAAAACAAACTGCAAAGCTTAGCGAAAGCGAACTCTGAGTACATAAGCCGACTGTCCAAAATGAATCCATCAGAAATGCGCAACGAATTCAGCAAATACGGCTTCAACACTAACACCAATACGGAAGACTTAAAATCGCACGACAAATCTGAAAACGACTATTACAAGTCCTGGCTGGAACAAAACGGGGAGTTAGAGGTGTCGTTGCTGAAAGCTGGCCAAAAGAAAATGGCTCCTAAGACGCAGCCAGCAAAGTCTGAAGTCGAGCTGATACCGAAGTCTTCTTTGAATCAGGAGAAGACGCAGATTAGACGGCGCGGGCGCCCTCCGTTGTTCAAAGACAAAAATCTAGACATAGGAGAGACGGTTTTAAAGTCAGATCTGGACCAGTTTTTGGAGGGGAAGGAAGTCAGTTCCTCTGGGTTGTCCAGGAAAGATCTGGAAAGGGTTATGATGGGGAAATTCAACCCAAATAGAAGGTACTCGAATGAGGCCATGTGGGCGGCTTTGATGGATGTGAAGAAAGGAGGAAGCATCTACAGGTGAGTTATTTCATCATTATCATTTCAGCCATAGGACGTCCACTGCTGAACATAGGCTATGACTTCCATCATGACCGGTTGGCAGCGGCCTGCATCCAGCGCCTTCCTGCTACCTTTATGAGTTTATTTATTTAGCTTGAATTTCTGTTTCTTTGTCACAGAAAGACAATCACTAGATTCACTAGCTTGTCCGTTTAAAAATTGAGATAAAAGTTACCTTATGTTTTTTCGTAGGTCTCAAACTATCTCTCATATTAAACCGTCAGTGATCCATTTTAACATTGTCAGGCACCTATGGTAACTCATAAGCGCTTTTTAAAAGCCCATATGCAGAAAATGTATGACATTTTAATATCTGGCTCATTAATGTCTATGACATCAGCTGAAAGAAAAATATCTTCAAATGATTATGTCAAGACCGTTACTAAAAATCATAAAATATATGCTGAAAGGGTTCAGAACAAATATGTACTTTATTTTATTGTTATTGATTGTATTTATTTTATTCCAGAGCGGCCCAAACCCACAAAGTGCCTCGCAAATCGCTCCGCAACTGGATGAAGCGTTGCCACATTAAGTCCTCCTTCCCCATGCCACAACAGCTTAAACAGTTCGTCGAAAACAGCAAGAAACAGAAAGAATACAACTATCAAAATATAGAAAAAAGTGGCACGGAAACCGACGCAGGAGAGGTAGTGTCGTATGAAACGGAACTGGAGTTCGGTAAGCACTTCCTGATGAACACCGCGTCTAGTGAGGATGAGAAGAATGACGCGAAAACGGCCGAGAATGACGCGGACGATGACGCAGCCATCAATATGTCATTGCATGAATAGAGGATTTTTATGTCACTGTCATGTCAGTGATAGATAGTTTGAGTTGAAAATGTTTTATTTTTTTGAGTTGGTGTCACTGGTTTTTTTTAGTTTTCGAGATTTTTTTGTCTCCCTGTGGAAAAATGAAATGTTTTCCTTAGTGTTTTGTTCATGGTGTTTACATTGCTGTTCCTATTTTTACTGATAAAATATGTTTTTTTGTTTCTAAAGAATTAGGCGTTGATATTGTGTATTTTTAGGGCTGATAGTTATGTTTGACAAAATATTTTTAACATAGACTCTATTAATTTTCTCGTACAAGAATATGTATGGGAAAGAAAAAAAAAACAACATAGGAACATTTCAAATGTTTGTTATTTTTCTCCAGTGACACCAACTCTGTTTTGTATACTTAAATCCTATTTTATTGTATACAATGTTTTTTCGTCTTCATCCAAAAAGACCTTTTAAACAAAAAAAATGTATACACGTAGTAAAATTGTCAGCCATTTTAGATTTTAAATTGGCGTATACGAAACTTTGAAACTGCCAAAGAAAAACAAAGATTAGTGAAAAGAAACCCTATTGAAAAATTATTTACCCAAAGAAAGAATTATTTATCATTTAAGCAATTATTTCCTATTTTGTCCTGCAATACTAGATCCCAAAGATATTTAAAGAAATATTTAAAACACCCAATTCGCGTTACTAAAAAACTACTATTCAAACCTACCATACGGTAGTTTTTGGCTCAGTGTTGCCAATTCGAAAATAGAAGCTTCCAAATGGTAGTTTTTGCCGCGATTGGTAGATTCGTATGTTATTTATTTTATTTGCGTTAGTATTGCTGTAAGTATTAGTTAATTCAATTAAGTATGTTACGGAAAATTGGCCTTTTTGAGAAATTGTGTGCTTTGTAATGGACTTCGTCCAAATTATATTGAAAAGACTTGAATAATATGAAATTTTAGTGTTTATTGTGTAAGGTAAGGTAGGTCTTTGAAGTACTTCGATGATAACGACCAGATATTTAGGTTGCACGTTTGAATCTTGCAAAAACATATGAAAACAGTTTTAAATTACTCGTTACTAAAAATAATTCATCAACCTTAGGTCATTTAGTCTCCATTGCAGGAGCATGACCAGAGGCAATTTGGCCTACACTCCCCACGCTGGCCAGATAGGTTGGGGAGGCCTGACGTTCGCGTATGCCTAATCATTTTATAGCTTTTAAAATATAGTAAAAAAAATTGAACTGAAATCTGGTAGTTATTATTGATAGAGATTTTCTGTGGTTGTATTTTGTTTTATATGATAAAATATCGTTATGTAAANTATGTAAAGTCTTCTGCAGTAAGAACTAAAATGTCGACTAGGCCTTTATTTACAGAGGCATGTAAGGATAGGGGGAGAGAACTATGAGATTTTAGTTGGAGGAGATAAGTAACAATTTATGAATGTCAAGTCATTGTTTTGTTGTAAAATGTAATTAGTAAAATAGAGTTCTGCCAATGAAATAACGTTATAGAGGTATAAAAAAAAACAAAATATTTCAATCATTCAAATCAAAAATCAACCACAGAAGACATTATTTTAAAATATAATCGCTTTTTAAATTAAATGTATTAATTTATTTATATTTAAATGAAGTTTGCGTACTTAATTAGTTGACATCGAAGTTGGGTCGACAAACAATCGATTCGGGACCGAGTTTATCGATTAGTTTAGTTTTAATCGGTATGTTCCTTTAGATATCTTTATTGCGGCTAAATAGAATAAAATCAGCACTTATTAAAATTTCCATCTAGTGGCTATATTTATTTATAAATGAGACCAAAGAGCAGACTAAGTTAAACAAAAAATATTCAAAAATATACAAAAAAAAAATTGTCAATCAGCAGAAACTTACAAGAAAATACTAACACTTTGTTTCACATCTTTTACATATTGTAAAAAGCTACTACTTCTGATAGTCAAATTCACGTGCTCTTCTTCTCTAAACAAAACGTGAAATACCTACATGTTATATTCCATTTAGTCGCAATAAAAATGTCATAATATTCGTTTCCAGTAAGTTAATTGCTTTGAAGTGATTGTGGTTTTGTAGAGAAAGTGTTTTATACATTTTTTAAACAATTATATATACCAAGAGATGGCGCTTTTTACGCATTATTATGATAATAGGAGTATGTCATTGGTGTTGTGAAAAAATCGTTCGCAGTTCATATTTAAAAAACATTTAAAATCTTTCAATAAAATTAAGTCGTATAATACTATTATGTATTTAATATTAAAAGGTGGTATACATTGTACAATGTACTATACATACCTAAACTACTAGAAAATTGCCGGCAATGTGCCCAAAGTGAAATATATAAAACACTTTCTAAATCCAAGAAGTGCCTCCTAGTATATATCTAAATATACATAATTTATTAGTGTGTAAGTGGCTATGATGTAGATATACAATTAATTACATTTATATATCACATATAATATACTATATAAAATGTTGTATGCAGTATTACATTATGTAAGTGTTTTCTTTGTGTATGTAGATTTGGTTATACATAATGTACTTAATTTAATAGTACTATAATTATGTTGTCATTTTTGTTTTAAATACATATTTTTATGTATACAACGTGATCATTACCCTTTACTGTTCTATATATTTATATATTGATTGATATAGTAACGTTTTAACAAAATGTTTACATAATTATACCCAAAAAAAATAAATGAAATTTGGTAATGGTCATACGTAAGTATTTTAATTTAGTTTTCATTAAAAATTGTACGTTATGAGTTGTCTTTTGAGTTATCACTTGTTGGCTTGTGTATAATAAGTGCCTTTATAATGCCATGTACTTAAAAATTAAAACACTTAACGTCCATGCGGTGTACTTAGTTGTGTATGTGTGTGTCTACACTATGTATTGGAATATTGAAAAATTTAAGCTCACCAGATAATATGACTATGATGGATTTGGGCTATATTTTAGGTAGAGGTAAGAACAATACTACTTACCTTATGAAAATGTTTCGAAAAGACTAAAGTTACTACTGAGTGTCGCTGCCCTGGTGGTGAAAACATCTCGAATGCCTTAATTTTACTACGATTTTAATACGGTCTTTGTTTTCTACGAATAACTAAATATTTTGACCGATATATTCAGTTTTGAAGCCAACAAAATTAAAGAAAATGTGACTAAAAATTCAGTACTAAATTTTTGTGACAGTGAAGTATTGCAATAAAATATTAATTGGCCTTTCAAATTGGTGCCTAAGCTACTATAACGCCAAAATAAAAAGTATTTCCAAAGATAAATAGTGCCTTTCGCTTTGTCTTAATGAACTTGAAAGTTTATCAACTCTACAAGTGACAACTCTATTATATTCGATTCCAAATCGTTGTTTTGCTTATATGTATATTGTATAAGTTATGTTGTATGATACACTGAGAAGTTTCCGCCCGTCTGGTACATTTGATGTTAACATTTTGTACCGGTTTTGCTACATCATGAGAGTTCAATAAATATACTGAAAAGAAAAGTGCATTTTTATTCTTTGGTTTTCGCTTCCCAATGTAATTTTAGGTAAAGTTTTGAGCTTTTTAATACCAACGGGGTTTTGTAAGGTATTTATAGGGCGTAACTTTACGTAAAATTCACGTCCATATACACACAGTTGTGCGTAACTGTCTGAAGAATACCTACACTCAATAATTTCATTTCATTGCAAGTTGTACCTATTTGTTACAAGCCCGTATAGTATAGAATGAAATTCATGATTATTAATACCAAGATGAAATTCGTACACAATAATTTATACCAATAAAAGCTCGACGTTATTATGGTATTAAATACCGTTATTACTCCAAAACTTTTCCTGAAAATCCTTAGTGCGTCTTTTCCTTGCTTTTTACGATCCACAAATTATTTTAAATATTGCGACTGTAAAAATCTTACTAGCATGTTAGAGATATTGGCGTATTGATTAAAGAGTCATCAAGTCCAACATGTATACTAATGTATATACGTGTATATTATTATTTTTTATCAATTCTATATACAACGTATATTAAAAACATGAGTTGTCAGACGGATGTATACAGATATAGACTAATAATATACGCCAATATCGCTCAATTTTAGAGTCGCACGCCCGCCTGTAGGAAGCCAGGAAAAGAAACGCCCAGGTTTATTCTATATTAATCAACACAGCCTGTAATACAAGGGGCGATTTCATTTCCTTGCTTGTTACAGGTGTGCGGACATCCACGGAAATTGTGACGCGGCATTTTATTGACATGGACCACGGAATACCACTGAATATACACGCGAGACCTCGGATCGTCGGAAGGAGACCCAACGCTATCGTCAACATTGAAACAGACGTGTTCCAAGAGAAATCTTACAAGCAATATTCGTCCCAACACCTGAGAGATGCGCTCATCGCTGTGAAAAAAGGCTATAGTGTGTATGCAGCTTCGAATAAATACGGTGTGCCACGGAAAACTTTGAGGAATTGGATGGAAAAGTATGACATTAAGAGTCAGTTTTCGAAAGGCAGACGCGGAACGAGAGGTGCGCCTATACTAGACCCGCTGGATTTGATGCAAGAAGCCCGTTCTGAGAGGTATGACGAGGCATTATAATTCTACACTGACTTGAGTAAAAGAACAATCCACAATAAAGTAAGTTTCAGTAATATAATTTTGTGATTTTCTTGGAAAATTATAGGCATTTTATAGAGTTGACTCAAAAATAGATTTTTTTACAAATCAAAAAATAGACTACGTTTTTCGGTTCGAATTTAAATATAATATAACGAGGTATAATTAATCAATGTGTATTGAAAGTAGCAGCCGAATAACTGTATTAAATCTTGCCAAATATTTCCTAAGATATTTCCATGATGTAGTTATGTACGGCAATATTGTCCTGGTGTTAAATGAAAAAATATTCTTAAACTTAGTGATATTTAGTGTTGATAGTAAACGCAGTTATTATTATTTAGTATATTTATATTGCTGTGTAAAATGCGAAGTAAAAGTCTGAAACTGTTTCTCAAATTGATTGGCTTTCCATTTAATTTTTTTCAGTCATGATTATGTTTTGCCGTCGTCAGTCAGTCATTTAGTTATTATACACCGAATATAGTGTGCCTCAAAAGAAGATAATATTTATCAATCAATATAATAATTTGAGAAACTAGAGGGTTAGTGGAGAATGCGGTACGGTGGTAGCATAATCCTTAGCAATTGATTCTTAATATACATATTTGAAAAAAGTATGAAATATTCGTATTTATTAATATGTGGATATAATTTTTAATTTTTGCTTACCTATCCTTAATATAATGTTATGTAACTATATGTATACTATATGTCATAATTATATGTATAATAATTATAATTAATGCTATAAAATACTGTATCTCAATGTCTAAGTATGAAATAAATTGATATGATTGCTAAATATTGCGTAGTTTACATATTATATATTTTTACAGGGATAAACACATAAAGATAAGAGCCAAAGATAATGAAAAGCATTGTCAAAGTTTGTTCTAATCATACATCTAAGGTATAGTTTATTATAGTCGTAGTTAAGTAGTACCTAATTATAAAAAAATATTATTATAATTTAATGATTTATAAAATAGTAAACGTGTACTTANATCAAACACAAAATATCACGTTATAAATAATACAAAAATGACTGAAGTGTATTCAAACAACGAATAATTTAACCAAAATGGTGCTTGGAGTGTCTGCAAGACGTCTTAGACGAAATGCTTGATGACGTACCCTTAGCGTTACACCAAATGCTCTACTACCAGCAGGATGGTGCTCCCCCACAGTAAGGACTTCAAGTGCTCGAAATACGTTTGGTGAACAGTGGATTGGACGAGGGGTCCAGTAGCTTGGCCACCACGATCCTCGGACCTGACACCAATGGATTTTTGGAGTGACTTGAAACAACTGGTATGCGCCGAAGAGATAATCAGTGTAAACGCGTCACATGAAAGGATTGTTTTAGTGAAGCTGTGATACAAAACGTTTATGTGTTGCGAAAACTAAAGCGAAAAACCTACGCTTCGCCGTGCTAGACTGTGCCTTCATCAGAACGGAGGACACTTTGAACACTTGCTTCGCAGTACGTAAACTTTGTAAGTAGGAACTTATAAATAAATAATTAATTGTGAATAAGGTGATTTCATTTCATACTTAATTTATTAATTTGTATAAATAGGGTACAATGTTGTAAATTAATTGAAACCCTATTAATTATTACGTATTTTTGACGGTCCTAAGTCCGTAAAGTAGAAAGGAAAATCTGAAATCAATTGAAGAGTATTTTAAAATAGTTATTATGACTGGATAAAAAGGCTGGTACCCAAAGCCATAAAATTAAGAACTAGGCCACGCCCACTAGGTTTATTCCACTTGCACCTGTAGGACGTGCGAGACAAAGTTGGTTTATTCCAATTTGTACTGAAAAACCAAATTTACTAAAATCTTAGTGTACTTTCTTTACGGGAGTCTCTTGTTTATCTTAAATAATAGGTATTGTTACCTACTTTTATCTCTGTGAATATGGCAAGAATGCAAAGTAACACGGTGTATATGTTAATAATATAGATCAAAATAAAACTTATTTGTATAAAATAATATGGTTGGCTGATGTTATAGATAGTCACTGAATACTTAATACATCGATGGTGTAATATAAAAGTGAATTGTGACTAGTATACCTATCATTTTATAAGCGATACGAACCCGCTTAGCACTTTTTGTCGTCGCGATATCCAGTCCAAAGTGTAGACCATGGATAAGGTGGTTAATTAGGTACCTAACACATACTGTGACTAGCGTGGACATAACCACGTTAGTCACAGTGTGAATATACCTTAACAGGATACAAATGGATTGGGCCACTGTTTATGCTAATATGCAATAAGTTAGCCGAAAAAATATGAAATAGTTAAGATATTGTGGCAAGCTGACATTGCAATATTATTGAATAATATTAATTTTATGATAAGGTTAGTAATTTTCATACTATTTCAAATTTATTTATAGGCAAAATTGTACTTAATCTGGTCTAGTCTAATTTTAAGTTATTTACGAAGTAATAAAAAGTGACTTCGTATTTTGTAGGTAGGTAGATGATTTCATTAGTCCTATACTAAATATTATAATTACTCAATAATTTTAAATCTTTATATATTATCTTTTAAAATGAGTATATAAAATGGCGAGAAAGAACTTACTGTGTATTTTTTTCCAAATGCATTTTATTTGCGCCAAAGTGAACGTTGCAATATGTACTTATTTTATTTTGTTTTCACATAAAATATAGATTTTAGCTATGATTTTAGTCATGTCATAATTTAGTTCCTAGCAGGCCAAAGTAGATTTAGTTTGTGTTTCATATTTTGTTAATTATTTTTAGTTTAATTATTCAGTTTAGTAAAAAAGCAACGAATTATGTATTATTTGTTAAAGTGTGATTATTTTAAATTATAATAAGCAGATGTATAATATGTATAAGCCAAGATAGTAACAGATATATTTTTACACATTCAATACATAAACATGATTTATTTGAAATAATATTATAAATACATTGTTTTAGCAGCTATACATTATATAATAATCAATAATTAATTTAATATATTTACTTGCCAATATCTCAATAAAAGAAATAGTAATTCAACAGACTGTACTTTCAAATAATATTTAATGTATCATTTCATGAAAAGTTTTTTAAACATATTGTTTGTTTAGCTACTTATTATAATTATTCTTATTTAATATGTTAAACAGATTTTCCATAATTTTACCTATACAACCTCCTGTTATTATATACGAACGTGAACTAAATAAATAATTATATATATTTTACATTAAAACGGCTACAATTTTAGTGTCATGAGTATTGTACGGGTGACTGTATTATTATAATTAATATATTTAAGGTTTACGTCGTCAATCATTAGTTTTATTTATTTACCCCATTTAGTAACTTGTTTTTATCTTAAGATAAAATATTAAACGAGTTAAAGTTGTATAAAAGAGAAGTGGTATCGTTGTTTTTAGAAAAACAGCGTCTATTTCTACTGACATAAGATTTTATAGACATTAGAATGCAGTGATTCTTAAACGTCAGGTGGCAAGAATCGGAACTGATAACCCCCTATTGAAAGCAGCGCCCTCCTATCAATGTCATATCTGGGACACTTCAGTTTTGTCAAACTGTAGCTTGATGTTCTGCCGGAGCTGAGCTAAGTTTGAACATATTACACTACCCGGTGGAGTTAACTGCGCATCTGGCGGCTGTGACGTCACATCTACGCTCTGGTACGGACGGGGCAGACGAGGGCAGGTGTACAGGTTAGGACGTCGCACACTTATCCGCACCGTAACGTAAACGCCTCGCCTCGCAATTGACAGCGCGCGGAATGCGATACGGTGTTGATCCCTTTCCGAGTTGAAAAGTCAGCTATGAGCTTAAGTGAGAGGGGGAGTAGCATTAAATTTGACATTTATAAAACTCATATCCTGATACACCGCGTCATGTGGTATGCACTTGACACATATTATGCTGAGACGGGGACCTTTTTGCTGCTGCAACGCCGCCTAAGTAACTTTCCCTATTAATTTTAATTAGTTATCATTCTTTTGACTGGTTCTGTAATGTTGACCGTTTATTTTATGTTTGTATGTGTATTCATGTGGCAGCAAAATAAACGTTATTCTATTCTATTCTATTCAAGCGAGATGCGCAATTAGCTCGATCAGGTTGCATATTATAATAATATTATTTATAATATATGTATAATTTATTGATATCAACTTATCATCTACCTGTAGATGTTGTGGTATCTACAGAGCCGTCGGAGTTCGCGATAGCCAACGTGCAGTGCCAGTACGACAGCCCGTCCGACACGGAGTCGGTGGCGTCGGTCGCAGGCGTGCGGACGGCTGACGACCACACGTACGACACGAGGGACGAGCCGCCCGCGTTTATTATACACCAGACGAACAATGTGAGTGTTGCTTTTGCCCGTTACTTGACCAGGGCCCCGATTACGCTAAAATTTTCATCTTCAACGTGCCCGGACCAAGAACGAACATCAGCTGTTTTGACAAATCCTTATCACGGTCACGCTTTGACAGCTAGTTGATACGAAGCATAGACGTAAACGTTAAGCGAAATATCTCATGTGACAATGAAAATACTAGGAAGGTACGTCGATTACCGTAATACCGAATTTGCATCTCAGCTGGAATGAAAAACTGAGCGCAACTGGAGAAGAAGCGCGTATGTATTGGAGACGTTAAAAATTAGCGTAATCGGGGCACAGGGTGGTACATTTAATCATGATCATCATCATCAGAGGGCCTAGTGTGAGTTTACAGCAAACGCGCTCACTGGCGCATAAAAAATGACATTAAATGTATGACGGATTGTACAGCGCCCCTAGCGGTAAACGTTGAAAAACTAACATTTTCATACATTTTTTAAACGCGCTCATGTAAACTCACACTCAGACCACAGGTCATTTGGTCTCCACTGCAGTAGCACGCACGACTCTATGAGAGAATCAGGCCTTCACAATCACAGCCCATTCGGCCGTGGGGAGTAGGATTTATACTTCTAAATCAAGGCAATGGTAAATTAGTAATGGTCATGCTCCTGAAATGGAGATCAAAGACCTGATGATGATGATGATTGAAGACCTCGAAGTTTTGTATGGCGCCCTTCAGCTAAGTATGTGTTGGAGTGTCGACTTGCTTACCTATGTCACACCTACGTATTTATGTATAGCAGAGGACTTCTGTAGGCTAATGATGATGATGACGACAACCTATTGCTCTACCCCAGGCTTGACGGATTAATGGAATGATGTCAACCACCTACCCAATTATTGAATTATTTTACCTAAATTTTAACACCATTCTTTCTCTAATAACTTAGTACACTTTGAAACCAATATTTCCCTTATTATATGGGGTAATTTCACCCATTCTTCCCCAACAGGTGTCCCAGTCACTCTCGCTGCCGTCGAGTCCGTTCGTGGAAGTCCGGCCCAAGATCATGACCATCGGCCCTTCGCACAACACACCGGCTGTCAACGTCATACACGTGGGGGATAGACCGCAGGTAAGAGGGAGTAAATTTTTTTATTGATCAAAGATTAAGGCCTATTTAAATTCGAATTCTTGTTAAAAGGATAAAGGCTTGAAGTTATCGTTGCACAGTGGGCACATGGGTCTTTTTCATGGACCTAGCTTCTAGCTCAAGGAAGGCAGTCTGATCCAGGACGTCCAGGACGGTCCAACCCAGTTTTTAGACCGGTTTCTTCGCTCATGGGCTTACAGTTTTCAGGGGGGAAAGCCCCACCTAATGGGGCTGGCGTGCCGCTGAATGATTGAAGACCTTATTTAGAGTTTTGTTTGTCAAAACAAATTAAATGATCCATGAACTCATTCTTAGATATTGCCTTGATCAAAGATTGCCACAGCATGCATTAGAACCTGTCGTCTTATCTGAAGATATTATTATGACTATCAATGTATTCTTGTGATTTCGTTTGAATTTTGATTATTACTGTTTCCCAGATCCAAACGCCGCAGTCAACGCAGCCAGAGTTCAACATAAACAAGCGCATCCGGCGGAGTGAAGTAGTCTTGCGCCAGGCCGCTGATTGTGTCAGCCGCGGACTCACCTTCCAGACCGTGTCGGAGCAGTTCAACATACCCATATCCACCATCAGGTCAGTTTTGGCTAAATAAGAATCTACAACAAATAAGCCACCTAAAAAAAAACTGTAGGCCTGAATGCCATCTGAAGCCAATGACACAACGTTAGGCCAAAAATGAAACCTTCAACTAAAAGAGCTTTTTCAGGTCAAAACGGCACCTTAAGCCAAACGAGCCACTTAAGACCAAACCACCTACGATTAAAAGAACCTCTTCAGGTCAGAACCACTACATTTTACTAAAACAGACTCGTTAAGCCATAATAAGTCACTTGATTATTTATGAAAGGGGAACGAAAAGAAACTATCTAACTATGAATAAAGTAAATATAGATTTTTTATCTGCAGGTTCTTCATGGCACGCAAAGGCATCTTACCTCGGAGGCGGCGCGGGCGCAGCACACAAGTAAGTAACCCAACTTCTGACTCACTCGCTGTTTCATTTTATATTTGTCTACACTATTTTCTGCTCGTGACTTTCTCGAAACCCTTTTGTACCCTTTGCACCACCGGCCTGCACCACTGGTGGTGCAAAGGGTATTTTTAAATCCCTCTTGCACCACCAACAGTGTGCCATAGAAAGCTATGCCCATGATGCAAGAAAGATTATTTAACTTTTTGCAAAGTTGAATAATACTTCCCCCTCTTTAATATTTATTTTAAGGAGAAAGTTAGCCTATAATTGATCACATTCACCGATCAGTATAAAATATTACAGTCTACAAACAGACATATACATAGTAACTTACAAAACAAAGCATTTAAGTATGTTTATATCCTTTGACTGGTACTGGTGATTTTTCATTACATTTTCGTTGCAAAACAGCTCTTCTTACAACGACATAAGACAATAAGTAGAACGATTAGTATGCTTTGTAATGTGTGTAACTGTCTAAATAATACTAAACGCGTATAGTTCGACCCGTTCCCAGCTGAAGCCGTGCAGTAGTCCCGAGCCGCCGTTCCACATGCAGCACTTCAAGCTTCCCCATATGCTACCGCTCACTGACGAGCCTGACAACTGAGGCTGAGGGTAGGCGAAGATACAAGCGAGGCGAGCTCGGGGGTAGGCGAAGAAACATGAGGCTTGCGCTTATTCTGAGTCAACTACTAACTGTGTCTATAGGCGCATTTTAAAATAAATGTCTAACTAAAGTACATGATTACATTTTACAACCCAGGTTTAACTACTGTATGTAAAAGTAGTTTTTAAAAGTGTGTTTGCAAAAAAGACCGTGATCTGGGTCGAAGTGCAGTGTAACTTTTGTGATCCGGGTCGAAGTGCAGAGTAACTTTTGTGACCCGGGTCGAAGTGCATTGTAACTTTTGTGATCCGGGTCGAAGTGCAGAGTAACTTTTGTGATCCGGGTCGAAGTGCAGAGTAACTTTTGTGACCCGGGTCGAAGTGCAGCGTAACTTATGTGACCCGGGTCGAAATGCAGAGTAACTTTTGTGATCCGGGTCGAAGTGCAGTGTAACTTTTGTGACCCGGGTCGAAGTGCAAAGTAACTNATATTTAATATGTTAAACAGATTTTCCATAATTTTACCTATACAACCTCCTGTTATTATATACGAACGTGAACTAAATAAATAATTATATATATTTTACATTAAAACGGCTGCAATTTTAGTGTCATGAGTATTGTACGGGTGACTGTATTATTAAATTAATATATTTAAGGTTTACGTCGTCAATCATTAGTTTTATTTATTCACCCCATCAAGTAACTTTTGTTTTTATCTTAAGATAAATATAAATATTAAACAAGTTAAAGTTGTATAAAAGAGAAGTGGTATCGTTTTTTTTAGCAAAAGATCGTCTATTTCTACTGACATAAGATTTTATAGACATTAGAATGCAGTGATTCTTAAACGTCAGGTGGCAAGAATCGGAACTGATAACCCCCTATTGATAGCAGCGCCCTTCTATCAATATCATAACTGGGACACTTCAGTTTTGTCAAACTGTAGCTTGATATTCTGCCGTACAAGCTGAGCTAAGTTTGAACATATTATGCTACCCGGTGGAGTTAACTGCGCATCTGGCGGCTGTGACGTCACATCTACGCTCTGGTACGGACGGGGCAGACGAGGGCAGGTGTACAGGTTAGGACGTCGCACACTTATCCGCACCGTAACGTAAACGCCTCGCCTCGCAATTGACAGCGCGCGGAATGCGATACGGTGTTGATCCCTTTCCGAGTTGAAAAGTCAGCTATGAGCTTAAGTGAGAGGGAGAGTAGCATTAAATTTGACATTAAATAAAACTCATATCCTGATACACCGAGCAACTCAGGCCCCGGCCGCCGTCTGAAAATCAGCGTCATGTGGTATGCACTTGACACATATTATGCTGAGACGGGGACCTTTTTGCTGCTGCAACGCCGCCTAAGTAACTTTCCCGATTAATTTTAATTATCATTCTTTTGACTGGTTCTGTAATGTTGACCGTTTATTTTATGTTTGTATGTGTATTCATGTGGCAGCAAAATAAACGTTATTCTATTCTATTCAAGCGAGATGCGCAGTTAGCTCGATCAGGTTGCATATTATAATAATACTAGCTGACCCGGCGAACTTTGTTCCGCCTTAATGGCAATAAATAAGCAGACTTTTTTTTTAATTTCGAACGGGATAAAAAGTATCCTATGTCCTTCTCCTGGCTCTAAACTACCTCCCTGACAATTTTCAGCTAAATTGGTTCAGCCGTTCTTGAGTTATAAGCGAAGTAACTAACACGACTTTCTTTTATATATATAGATTATTTATATATGTATAATTTATTGATATCAACTTATCATCTACCTGTAGATGTTGTGGTATCTACAGAGCCATCGGAGTTTGCGATAGCCAACGTGCAGTGCCAGTACGACAGCCCGTCCGACACCGAGTCGGTGGCGTCGGTGGCGGGCGTGCGGACGGCTGACGACCACACGTACGACACGAGGGACGAGCCGCCCGCGTTTATTATACACCAGACGAACAATGTGAGTGTTGCTTTTGCTCGTAACTTGATCAGCGTAGTTGCTGATTATCATCAGATTTTTTGGTCTCTACTGCAGGAGTACGACCGTACAATCCCCACGGGAGCATCAGTGGGTCTAGCTCTAGACAAAGTGCAAATTATAATCGCAAACCACTCGAAAAATGGCCGAAATGCCTTTTTTTGTATGGAGTTTTGACGGATTCGATTTTCGATTAGATCAAAAAGTGCATTTTGTCTAGGGGGCAGGTCACCTCAGCCCATCTGACTGTAGTATTTAGACTTCTAAATCAAGGCAATAGTAGATGAGAAATGGTCGTGTTCCTGAAACGGAGATCAAATGATGATGATGATTAAAGACCACGAAGTTTTGTATGGCGCCCTTCAGCTATGTCACAGACTAAGTATGTGGTGGAGTATCGACTTGCTTACCTACGTCTAGCAAAGGACTGCTATAGGCTAATGATGATGATGACTATAACCTATTGCTCTACCCCAGGCCTGACGGACTAATAAAATGATATCAACTACCTACCCAATTATTGCAATTTTTAACTATATTTTAACATCTTTCTTTCTCTAATAGGTACATATTATTCCCCTAATAGGTTAATTTCAACCACTCTTCTTCCAACAGGTGTCCCAGTCACTCTCGCTGCCGTCGAGTCCGTTCGTGGAAGTCCGGCCCAAGATCATGACCATCGGCCCCTCGCACAACACGCCGGCTGTCAACGTCATACACGTGGGGGATAGGCCGCAGGTGAGAGGTCTTTAAACAACTATAGTCTGGTCTGTGAGCACGTAGAATTTTGTCCAATGACCCCAAGCTACCCATCCTTATCGCTCGCGCGTAATTATATTGCTGTCGCGACTGTGCGACGGGCGCCCGCAGTGAGTGTGCGAGCCTAGCTTAGCTAGACTTCATCAAAATCGGTTCAGTGGTTTAGGCGTGAAAGCGACATAGACAGAGTTACTTTCGCATTTATAATAAGTAGGGATAGTAGGGAAGTAGGGATTTACAAAGCATACGCTATATCTACACAGATTCGTGATTGAATTAGCCGCATATACCTAATTTAAATTACTGCCCATAAAAAATATAATTTCTGGTGATCATAAAAGTCAAATAAGTAATGACACCTGAGCGAGCTGTTACCAGGTAATTGCTGTAAAAATTACTATAATATCCCTATTAACCTCTCCACCTATGATTAATAACCACTTGTGTTAGGAGTGGTTTCACCACAATGACGGAAGACGGGTATTGATCTAGCGACCACCGATGCTCTAATTCCGACACTGACACCATATGTTATTAACTTATGTTCTCAGATCCAAACGCCGCAGTCAACGCAGCCAGAGTTCAACATAAACAAGCGCATCCGGCGGAGTGAGGTAGTCTTGCGCCAGGCCGCTGATTGTGTCAGCCGCGGACTCACCTTCCAGACCGTGTCGGAGCAGTTTAACATACCCATATCCACCATCAGGTCAGAATTAGATTAGGTCTAATGCCACGTTCGATCCTCAGACCTAAAAGCCACCTCAGGCAAAAAAAAAACACTGGGACAAAAAGGCCATCTTCGACCAAAAGTTACTTCAGGTTAACCGCCACCTTGCACCTAAAGTGACATAAAAGGTCAGTAGAGTCACTTTGGGCCAAAACCGCCACCACAGGCTATAAGAGGCACCACGAACGCATCCGACAAAGCGAGGTAGTCTTACGTCGCGGGCTCATTTTCCAGACCGTATTCACCATCAGGTCAGTTTTGGTCTCTGAAGAAACAAAAAGACATCTAGGACAAAACGTCACCATCGACCAAAAAGCTTATGTTAGGCCAAAACGACACCTTATGCTAAAAGAGCCACTTCAGGCCAGAAACACCACCTTCGACCAAAGCTGCAAAGGAGCCACTTTAGGTTAAAAACGCCCTCTCTCTCCAGTCAAAGCCACTCCAGGTCGAAAATGCTCCCGAATAAAAGAGGTACTTTAGGTCAGAACCACGTTTTACCGAAATAGAGTTAGGCCATAAGAATAATTTCATTGATATGAAAGGAAAACAAAAAGGAACTCTATCCAACTATAGATTTAGAATAAAGATATCCCATCAAAAACAATACTTGTCAAAAAAACCAAGTCTCGCAACTCAGTTGTTCTACGGTAAAAAGTTGTGAGATCCATGTAATACCAAGTCCAGGCCAGGAAATCTTTAACGTTTTACATAAATTATTGACTTGGCCATCGCACTAAATAATTTAATTTACACGTGTTTTCATGCGATGGCCAAGTCAATATATTTATGTAAAACGTTAAAGATTTCCTGGCCTGGACTTGGTATTACATGGATCTCACAACTTTTTACCGTAGAACAACTGAGTTGCGAGACTTGGTTTTTTTGACAAGTATTGTTTTTGATGGGATCTCTTTACTTTTTGTATTTTGTAGACAGCAGTTATGTATCTAGAAAACTGGACCGAAATTGAAAAATTTTACTCGACTTGGCGGTTGCACTACCGTGCCCCCAAATATTTTAGTTTTTCCTTGATTCATACACCAAACACTACTTATATTCCAAATTTGAAGCTTCTAGGTCTGCTAGAAGTGCCTTAGAATTTTGATGATCGGTGAGTCAGTCAGTGAGTCAGTGAGTGACAAAATTAAGTAACTTTGACCCGTTGTAATTCTTAAACTACTGGTTCAAACTGAATGAAATTTTAAATATACCGTATCTTTACAATGCCTGCATAGCTAATGAAAATTCAGCCTTCTAGTTTTATCCACAACGAAGTTACAGGCGGTCGAAAATGGCCTGAATTGCTTCGAGAAAAGGATGGTACGGCCGTGCCGCTTTTTTGCTCGACTTGGTGGGGGCACTGCCGTGCCCCCAGATAATAAAGTAAATATACATTTTTTATCTGCAGGTTCTTCATGGCACGCAAAGGCATCTTACCTCGGAGGCGGCGTGGGCGCAGCACACAAGTAAGTAACCAACTTCTGACTCACTCGCTGTTTCATTTTATATTTGTCTATAGTCTGGTCTGCGAGCACGTAGAATTTTGTCCAATGATCCAAAGCTACCCATCCTTATCACTCGCGCGTAATTATATTGCTGTCGCGACTGTGCGACGCGCGCCCGCAGTGAGTGTGCGAGCGCGACAGCAACATAATTACGCGCGAGCGATAAGGATGAGTAGCTTGGGGTCATTGGACAAAATTCTACGTGCTCGGGGACCAGGCTTTACACTATTTTCTGCTCGCGACTTTCTCGAAACAGTGTGCCATAGAAAGCTATGCCTATGATGCAACAAAGGTTTGCAAAGAGTTTATATAAGTTTTCAGATCCCTTACTTGAATAATATTTGGTTACTTTCATAATCAATTTCCCCCTTTAACATTTATTTTAAGTAGAAAGTTAGCCTAAAGTTGACCACACACATAGTATTAACCGATCAGCATCTATTAAACGGAAAACGCAGCGTGGGACGTCCACCTACAAGGTGGACCGACGACATCGTAAAGGTAGCAGGGAAGCGCTGACGCAGGCCGCTACCAATCGATCAACATGAAAAGCATTGGGGGAGGCCTATGTTCAGCAGTGGACGTCCTGTGGCTGAAATGATGATGATGATGATGAGTACCTTATAAATTATACAGTCTACATTTTCATTGCAGAATAGCACTTCTTCACAAAATAAGAACATAATATTTTTATTAAAACGATATGCTTTGTAATATATGTGTAACTGTCTAAATAATACCTACTAAACGCGTATAGTTCGACCCGTTCCCAGCTGAAGCCGTGCAGTAGTCCCGAGCCGCCGTTCCACATGCAGCACTTCAAGCTTCCCCACATGCTACCGCTCACTGACGAGCCCGACAACTGAGGTTGAGGGTAGACGAAGAAACATGAGGCTTGCGCTTATTCTGAGTCAACTACTTACTGTGTCTAAAGGCGCATTTTAAAATAAATGTCTTACTGAAGTACATTTTACAACCCAGGTTTAACTACTGTATGTAAAAGCAGTTTTTAAAAGCGTGTTTGCAAAAAAAGACCGTGATCTGGGTCGAAGTGCAGTGTAACTTTTGTGATCCGGGTCGAAGTGCAGTGTAACTTTTTTGACCCTATCGAAGTGCAGAGTAATTTTTGTGACCCGGGTCGAAGTGCAGCGTAACTTATGTGACCCGGGTCGAAGTGCAGCGTAACTTATGTGACCCGGGTCGAAGTGCAGTGTAACTTATGTGACCCGGGTCGAAGTGCAGCGTAACTTATGTGACCCGGGTCGAAGTGCAGCGTAACTTATGTGACCCGGGTCGAAGTGCAGTGTAACTTTTGTGACCCGGGTCGAAGTGCAGCGTAACTTTTGTGACCCGGGTCGAAGTGCAGTGTAACTTATGTGACCCGGGCCCCCCCCCCCCTTAAAACTAACCTGTTGGCTTTAAAAATCTAGTAAAATTCGTAAAGATAGGTACTGCTTTTCATGAATATTCAAGGAAAACTGTAGCGGTTAAGATACATCAGTTAGATTAACAGTAATAGTCATTTAACTCATGTATTATAAAATTCCTTAACTAGTGAAAATTCCTTAGAAGAAAATATTAAAAGTGACTTTAGATGAAATATATTGTGTTAATGACGGACAACTACGGAACCCTACACGGCGCGTGGCACGACACGCACTTGGCTAATTTTTATTCTAGTGTTTTTCAGTGTGCCTGCTGTATCTTTTTGGTAAATAGTAGGTACTGGATTAACGATTAACGGACTTAGGATAATTTAACGGAAGTTAACGAGTCCGTTAACATTTTTTAAAGTTAACTTAAAAGTTAATCCGTTAATAGAAATGTTAACTTCGTTAATTAACGATTAACGGATTAACGAGTTAATGCCCAGTAGGGCATGTAATATCGGAAGGTTTTCAATTCCGATATTGGATTCCGATATTAGATCTCAATATCGGAATTCCGATATTAATATCGGAATTGAGTTCATGTGCTATAAAATTAATATTTGGTTATATTCGTAAGAATTCTGGTTTTTTTACAATAAAATAATGATTTTAATCAAAATCTTTAATTTGGTACAAAACAGCACTTCATAAAATTGAAGTATTTTAAAACCATTTTTACGTTATGGGTATCCATTGGTGGCGGCCTGCATCCAGCGCCTTCCTGCTACCTTTATGAGGTCGTCGGTCCACCTTGTGGTTATGAGTCCTACGCTGCGCTTTCCGGTTCGTGGCCTCCACTTCAGAACCTTGCTGCCTCATCGTCCGTCTGTTTTGCGTACTAAGGCAGAACCGTTGGAAGACCTTATCACAATGCTCGAAGACCTTAATCAAGTTTCCCAACAGGTAGGCCTTCGGATGAATATGGAAAAAATGAAGCTTATGTCGAATATCCATGTTGCTCCTTACCCAGTTTCGGTTAGGAGCTCGATTCTCGAGATTGTTGACAAGTAAGTATGTCTATCTCGGACAAACGATCAGCCAGGTAGTTAGATGCAATTTCGAGAAAGAGGTAAAGCGTCGAATAAGAAGACGAAAGTCTTCAATTAGTGTGTGTTACCAGTGATGATATACGGTTTGAAAACGTGGCCTTTGAATATAGGGCACAACGTGCTATGGAGAGGGATAAGCTTGGTGTTTCTTTACGAGATCTAATCAGAAATGAGGAGCTCCGTAAACTAACTAAGGTCGCTGACATAGCCCGACGGATTAGCAAGCTGAAGTGGCAATGGGCAAGGCACATAGTACGCAGAACTGACGGTCCATAGTCCAGTAAAATTAATGTTTGAAAGGGAGTTGAGAACTTGAGATGTCGTTCTTTGTTGACCAAGTAGCTATGGCAAATGCTAAAATTGATTTAGAACAAGTTAAATTAACCATAAATAGTAAAGATATTAAAATATTTGCAGTGGAACAAAAAGTGATGGTGAGAGACATGAGAAAATCATTGGTCTTTGCCAATCATGTACTTTGGGCTTTGTGGCAGGTTGTGGCGAGCTTAAACGCTTTGTTTAAAATCTCAATTAAAACTTTTATCTGATTCCGATATTACGATATTGGGTCGCTCAATATCGGAATTGAAATATCGGATCTCGCCGTCCGAGATTCCGATATTACGAGATTCCGAGATTCCGATATTCATGCCCTAATGCCCAGCTATGTTTATAAATAACTAAAAAGTATTATATTCGAATACTTGATATATCAGGCTGGACCTGTAAATCTATAAAATCATCTGTAATAATACTTTTTGGTGAGTAGGAGACGTATTTTTGTAATATTTGAGTACTAATGATGCAATAAATTTATAATGTTATAAATCAGGAGAAGGAGTTACTTAAGTATCCAATGGATCTCAAATATTTCAAAAACACACCTCCATAGCCTCTTAAAAGGCTGATAATGATTTGACAGTTCAAAACAAGCTGTCCTCCTCGAATATTACCCGTGTAAATGAGACACAATATAAAATTTTCGAATTGTATAAAGTAAAAGGCTTGTAAAAATGTATAGAAATCTCATGTAGTATTATAGATTTAATGTTTAAAATAGATTAGTATTAGTAATCAAGAAATGCATTTGACATAGTGATTATATTTTGATAGCAACAGAGTGTGGTAATATTATACAAATTGTTTATTTTCTAATACAAAGTAGAAATAGGAATGAATAACAATGTTTTGATGCTGGTAGTTGGTTTCCTAGGAAATGTCACAAATAATATATAGACTCACAATACGCTATCTATTGAGATATTTATGTATGCGGATTGCACATCAGGTTTATACGGTTTTGGTGTAAAGTAGTACCTATTTCAATTTCAATAAGCAGTATTTAGTTTGATGTCTTCTTTCTTTTATATTGTCTACAGATTGGTTTATCAAAATGTCAATCCGTTTCCGTTATACAAACTGTCCGTAAAAAGACCTCTATTATTATTTTTTGTTAAGTTTAAGTTTTATAACGCTTTCGTTTTGTGGCGTATAAGTTATTGAATATACAACGTGTTATTATTTAACGCAAAAACAAGAGGGTAGTGTAACTTTTGTGATCCGGGTCGAAGTAAACTGTTATTTTGTGACCCGGGTTTTAAAAATAGTGTAATTTTGAGACCTGGGTCGAAAATTATTTAATTTTCATCGTTTTTTTTTTATGTACCTACTTACTACGGGTAGTTTTTTCGCTAAAAATGTGAGTATAATTTTTTACCTAAAATGATATTGATAGAATGTTAAAAAGCCCGCCTTGGTGTCGAGCAGCGCCGTCTGTTGTCTGAGAGACACTTGATTTTTTGTCTCTGGTCGTCAATAGTTCTACCTCTGGCCACTGGCGCTAGTGACCGCCTTGTAAAATTCCGTGGAGGGTAGTTACGGGTAGCGTAGATCTGTTTTCATGTTTTTAATTTATGAAACTGGTTTTTAAATTTTGTGGTTGTAATTTGATTTTATTTTGTGTTCTGAAGTGAAGTGATCAATAATCAATAATTTATATTTATACCTATTATAAAACCAGTTGCGTTGTTTTTGCGATATTTCAATAACACGTTGTATACTTACGCATATTGTTCCTGATTTACTCTTCTAAGGCGGCTATTTTTACATTATTTTAAGGTAAGGCAGTTATTTTGTCTATTTCTTAAGTTTGCCGTACATTTGTTATAATATTCTAAGTGCTTTGTTTTAGTCGAGATCTCAAATAGGTACGTCGTACTCTAACGATCAGTGGTAGGTACAACTATTTGCCCGGGCATAAAGCAATAAAATATATGGCCACTCACTAAATGGACCGACGATCTGGTGATGGTCGCGGGAAGCACCTGGATGCGGGCGGCACAGGATCGGTCGTTGTGGAAATCTTTGGGGGAGGCCTTTGTCCAGCAGTGGACGTCATTTGGCTGAAACCGATTTATTTACAAAAATGTCCCAGTCTCCCTTATTTGCGAAGAGCTGTGTGATGGACCAAAATATCTCTAACTACCCTGATCTCTATTACACATAGTTCCCACTATATCTATAGCATTGTGACAGTATTATTTTGAACAAAAATACACGAACTAATTCTCCAGTGCCCTATTTTTGGCAGAAATATTTTTGAAAATCCTTGTTTATTCTGAAATTGTTAAATAAAGCAAAAACCAAGTATTTATTTTTCTCCTTAGAAAATAATGACAGGGTATGACTTTCAGATTAAAATAACTACGTATTCTAATAACAATTTGTTCAAATCTGTTACAAAATGTTTGGGAATATAGTATTTCTGCCAAAAATATGGGCATTGCTGATTTTGGTTGGCGGCGCGCCCATCTTGTGTATGATTTATTCAAACTTGTAGCCAAGTATAGATTATGAACTACAACGAACGAACTGTCCCACCCGTGACATTGACAGGGGGACGCCACCGTCAATACCGGATCGCTGGTTCCGTTTTTTTTTTGCCATGTTGGAAATTATACAGGGTGTTAGGTAAATGGGTATATGAGCCGACACTAGCCCATGTTAACATGGTCATATAAATGGTATGGTGAAGTCAGAAAATTGATATCTCCATTTTAATTATTTTAATTTTCATACAAATCGGATTTTATAAATTTAATTTTGTATGAAAATTTTAAAAATTAAAATGATGATTTCAAATTATCTGACTTCACCATACCATTTATATGACCATGTTAACATGGGCTAGTGTCGGCTCATATACCCATCTACCTAACACCCTGTATAGTTAAACGATGGTGGCGCCCCCCTGTCAATGTGTTTGGTGGGACAGTTTAGTGTAGTTAATCTTTAACAGTATTGGTGGTACTAATAATGTGATCTGTGGTACCAGTGTACAAAATTGTAGCTACCCTTATTATGGTACCGCAGCAAGAAATATGTTTTATTCATAACTGTGAAATGCAGAAATAATTATTTTATGCTGAAATGAAATCAGAATCAATAATTTTAATAATTTATAATTAAATACAAGTAAGGAGTTAACACCAATCAAGAAGTGGTGCCTGAAATTACTGATTAAATTAATTATTTAATGTAAAATGTTTAATATGTACAACTCTTCAACCTACTAAAAAATGACGAACATCTCCAAAGGATTTTGAACTTTACGTCAATGTGTAAAGTTCAATATTGATTGAGGACATTTTGTGGTAGGTTGATACCTCACAGGCGGGCGCGCCGCGGTAGTGCCGTGCCATGTAGCCGCGTGTAGCGTAGCGTAGCGTGTGTAGGTTTAAAATAAACATATTTTTGTGAATTCCTTTCGTTTTATTTCCTTTCTTCTATTTATAACTTTATTTCTGCGTCATAAGGTCTAAATCTGCCGTGAAGGTGGGAATTGCCAAAGTTAAGTGGCAGTGGGCGGGGTTACAAGTACAACGGTCGAGCTAAGAGTAGGCGCACACCGTTGATTTTTCGTCGGCCGATAGTTTAGTCGGGCAGTTGATCAGTGTGGGCATGTATGGGAGTGTGCACACTACGCCGATTCGATTTGGCCGATTCTTCATACAATTTGAAATCGGGCACAACTATCGGCCAACTAAAAATCAACGGTGTGCGCCTACTCTAACTGCGCACCTGACAGCCGTGACGTCACATCGACGCGAACGACAAACGCGGGGATGTGTCCGGGTGAGTGCGAGGGAGAGTCGCATTCCAGCGAGGTGCGCACTGCGCAGTTAGTTCGATCAAAAACTCTATTAAAAACTCATTAAAACTCATTTATTTCTGTAAGTAGGCTTAAAAAAAGCACTTTTACACGTCCCAGTATTAACCCTACCACTGCTTCAGGACAATGAATGGGCCAGTGCTGAGAAGAAGCAGCGCAAGAAACTCGGTCACTATTGTCAGCCTCTTTTTCAAAGGTTTACATGCTTTAAAATGTACAAAGTTTTAAATATTTATGCGAGCTAGGCAGTAACGTATCCCAAACATTTTTATCTTTTAAATAATCATCGACTTTATAGTAGCCCTTTTTCATTAAGGTACTTTTAATATGTGCTTTGAATTTATGGATGGGTAGTTCTACAACAGTTTGTGGTAATTTGTGGTAGATCGGGTTGTAGCTCAAGGAACTGGATGGCCGTTCGGGCAAAAAAATTCTCGAGTGGCGACCACGGGCCGAAAGTAATGTGAGCCTTCCCACTCGATAGCCTGAGGGTTGTTGTGGAAAGCCTTTGTCCAGCAGTGGACGTCATCTAGCTGAAACGAACGAAGTATCCAGAATATCTTTATCCTTGTTGCCTAAGAACAAAAGGTAAGTAAATAAAACAGCTGTGTAATTTTCTAAAACATGAAATTTATTATTCCTTATATCTACAGTGATAAGGCATCAGAAAGGCTGGACGCGTCGTACTTTGTACTGAATGTGGGGCTACTGCGATTCCACGACCAATCGAGAGCGTACGCGTGAATTTATGTTACACAGTACAGGTGGCGCCACCTGAAGGCAAGTAAATTGACTTCTTAAGAGCAAAAAGGCATTTTGACAACACAGAACGATGTTTATTTAATGTTCTTTACAGATTAAACATGGAAATCATAAGGTTGTGACGTCACTGACTATTAAAGTCAACTGACCGACTTACAAAAAGTTATACAACGAATTTCAGGCGACATTAACTGACAATAAAGAAGATTGTAGCACAAATTAAGATTTTTCTTTCCACAAAATCAACAAATTGTTTTAAATCTAAAATCTGTATAAGGCACTCGGGGTGGCGCCTCCTGGTGGCAAGTAGACGAACTTTTTCTGCAAATTTTCGTTTACGCTTTCGATGGCGAGAATCGTGTAAAACTTAGTGGGCACACTGAAGAGGCTACCTTATAGTATAGCAGATAAACTTCATTTTATAAACTATAGATTTAACTTCACGAATGAGTCAGACAGTTTAAGATTAATTTCTAGTTCACATTGAAATCATTTACAATAAGAATTATAAATGTTATTTTACATACTCGACACCTATTTAATAATATATCATGTGAAGTAGCCCCTAAAAGTGTAAGATATTTGTAATTTAGGCATTATATCTGTACCAAACATAGTTCATTATTAAAATAATTTATCTCAGATATTTCCAATATTGCTATTTAAGGTGATATTACATTAGTTATTCACTGCACTATAACATTAAACTATATTCATAAACATCTAACAGAAATTTACAAAATAATCGTTGTTTAGGACATGCAGATATCATTTTGTTAAAAATATTAGGACATTCACAGATTGGCGTTTTTTTGTGCACGTTTAGTAGGTTTTGACGCAGAACGTTATATTCGCAAAATGTCATCGTGAAAAATTTGGTCACTTTCGCAGAATTTCATTCACATTTTTTCCACATCTATATTGAAGATGAATAATTGTGAATGATATTGTGCAAATGTGACCTTTTGCGAAAGTGACATTCTGCGAAAGTGACTTTTTGAGAGAAAGTGACCAAACCTTTCGCGATGACATTTTGCGAATATGCCGCTCTGCGTCAAAAACCTGGAGTGTAATACGCAAAAAAACGCCAATCTACAAGTACCCTCAGTGCAAACTTAACGTCCGTGGCAAGCGCACACAACACCAACTTGATATGTAACTCAATTACATAATTAACCGTGGTAAAAGTACACGAAGAATATAACGTCTATACATTAAAATTATAAACATCCTACTTAAACGAGTTGTGCCAAAATATTGTTTTTCGATGGAATTTACCATAATTTTTTCACTTGCCATCTTTTACTAGCCGAGTCCCTCTTGTTTTTAGGGTTATGTTTCTTTTGAATACTACGCAGTCAGCGTTTAATAGTTGCTGATACCCAGTGTTCAAAAAGTTGACAACACAACCTAATTCTAATGAGGGTTTTCGCGATTGAAAAATCCGCCAGATGGCAATACATAGACGTGAGGTCCAAATGCTGCATGATTGGTTATTTTTGACATGACATTGACAGATTATTCTTATCATAATACAGGCCTAATATACTGACCATTATTTTTCATTTTCTTTCATTATGTTAAATTCCACCGAAAAGTGTTAAGAGTATTTTTTAACAACTAATATTAATAATTGTTAGTGTTTTCCGCCTTAATTTATTTATTTAATACAATTATTAAGTACATTTTTCTTTCAAATCAAACCTTCGATACATGATTTCGATTCTAAACTTTTTTTGTAATGGCAAGATTATATTATTTAATTATTTCATAATATTTAAAATTGTGAACTGGCAACCGTCCGTTTTACGTATTTCTAGAGCATATACGTAAAATAACGTAACGCATAACACGTCTTTCATTGTTTTGGAACCTTAAAGGGAATAAAGTTCAAAATATGGTGGGAAGTATATTCCCACTGCCAAAATATAGAAATAAAACGAACATAGTACAATATAGCGCCTCAATTGAAACAGACAGATGTATTGAACTGCTCTTTTACGTTAATGTAACGGTAATTTAACGTTACCGCTGATATTAACGGTAAAATAACGATATTCTGAACGAAACGAAAATAACGATATATTAAATTTAATAACGTTTAACGTAAGCAGTTTGTCTTTGTAAATAAGTTACCATTCTTCCATGCTCTAAAATTAAAAACGTTTACCAGTCTACAATCTAAAGTTGCATTGAAAATAATTGACATCGGAAACAAAATAATTGCTTTCGCTAAAGGGTAATAGGCTAAGGGTAAGGGTTGGCTGAAACGAAAGGGTAATGCAGATCTATAATACGTATTTACAAATCCCTAATAAACTAGAAGTTACTGTGATTCCTATAGTATTAAGTTTACAGTTTTCAATAATAGATGGCGTTGACTGCGTATTAAATCGCGATGGTTAGTTGTGTGATGTTTAACTTTATTAAATGAGTATTGTCAATACATAAGAATCACAATGATTAATATTTATTTACTTTTGAGTGCTAACTATCAAAATTTTGTTTAAAACTAGAAGAAACAACATATTTTTAGTTAATTCTCAACAGTAAATATTATTATATCTACACCAATCACACTATACCTTATTTCATTATGTCAGATAAGCTATTATTAATTTTCAAAATATTTTATTTGAGTTTGTAGAAAAATAAATACACCACACTGAGTTTAGTACACTGAGATTTTTTTCATGATTTTCGATAGAAATATTACACGCCAAGAATTTTTTCAGCACTCATATAGTGCCTGAGGCATAGGAGCGGCACGAGTGTTTTCAACCGACTTCAAAAAAGGAGGAGGTTCTCAATTCGACCCGTATGTTTTTTTTTCTATGTTTGTTACGCGATAACTCCGCCAATTATGAACCGATTTGAACAAATCTTTTTTCGGCGTNGTGCAGTGTAACTTATGTGACCCGGGTCGAAGTGCAGCGTAACTTATGTGACCCGGGTCGAAGTGCAGTGTAACTTTTGTGACCCGGGTCGAAGTGCAGTGTAACTTATGTGACCCGGGTCGAAGTGCAGTGTAACTTTTGTGATCCGGGTCGAAGTGCAGTGTAACTTTTGTGATCCGGGTGGAAGTGCAGAGTAACTTTTGTGACCCGGGTCGAAGTGCAAAGTAACTTTAGTGACCCGGGTCGAAGTGCAAAGTAACTTTAGTGACCCGGGTCGAAGTGCAGAGTAACTTTTGTGACCCGGGTCGAAGTACAGTGTAACTTTCTAAATTCGGGACAAAGTACAGTTGTGTTGTATTTTCACACATTCAAAGATTTTGGAAGGAAAATATTACGCACAGTATGACTGATTCGACACTGCACTCGACCTGGTTTGGTCCTCGTTTGGTCTCGAATCTCATCAATTTTAAAATCGATTGTAAAAATTGTAAAATTCGTTCGCCGTTTCAAATCTTTACAAAAATTGTCTACAAAGGTGTCTTCAATCATAAGGTTGTAACTACTGGCAGCAGATTAATATTTAAAAAATGACAGCGTTATCATACACTATCAAGCAAATTGAAGATGTTGAATATACATGGTAGTCATATAAATAAGCAATAATAGTTTCACCATATAAATGTGTAAAATTAATTCGTTTAAATACAAGTGAGTTTCAGTCCATAGCTTTCAAATAGTGGCCTTTCAATAAACGATATTTTCATAATACCGATTTTTAACTTGAAATCCATAGTGTTGCGAGCGAAACAAGCTTAGCTAAGTGAGATGAGCGAAATGAAATCGCGTTTGCTTATAAATAGTGAATTTATGGTTTATAAGTAACTAAAAAGTATTATATTCGAATACTTGATATATCAGGCTGGACCTGTAAATCTATAAAATCATCTGTAATAATACTTTTTGGTGAGTAGGAGACGTATTTTTGTAATATTTGAGTTCTAATAATGCAATAAATTTATAATGTTATAAATCAGGAGAAGGAGTTACTTAAGTATCCAATGGATCTCAAATATTTCAAAAACACACCTCCATAGCCTCTTAAAAGGCTGATAATGATTTGACAGTTCAAAAACAAGTTGTCCCCCTCGAATATTACCCGTGTGAATGGGACACAATATAAAAATTTCGAATTGTATAAAGTAAAAAAGCTTGTAAAAATGTATAGAAATCTCATGTAGTATTATAGATATAATGTTTAAAATAGATTAGTATTAGTAATCAAGAAATGCATTTGACATAGTGATTATATTTTGATAGCAACAGAGTGTGGTAATATTATACAAATTGTTTATTTTCTAATACAAAGTAGAAGTAGGAATGAATAACAATGTTTTAAATGCTGGTAGTTGGTTTCCTAGGAAATGTCACAAATAATATTATAGACTCACAATACGCTATCTATTGAGATATTTATGTATGCGGATTGCACATCAGGTTTATACGGTTTTGGTGTAAAGTAGTAGGTACCTATTTCAATTTCAATAAGCAGTATTTAGTTTGATGTCTTCTTTCTTTTATATTGTCTACAGATTGGTTTATCAAAATGTCAATCCGTTATACAAACTGTCCGTAAAAAGACCTCTATTATTATTTTTATTTTTTGTTTAAGTTTAAGTTTTATAACGCTTTCATTTTGTGGCGTATAAGTTATTGAATATACAACGTGTTATTATTTAATGCAACAACAAGAGGGTAGTGTAACTTTTGTGATCCGGGTCGAAGTAAACTGTTATTTTGTGACCCGGGTCGAAAAATAGTGTAATTTTGTGACGTAGGTCGAAAAGTAAGTACATTACTTGATTTTTTGTCTGTCGTTAATAGTTCTATCTCTGGTTGCGTTGTTTTTGCGATATTTTAATAACACGTCGTATACTTACGCGTATTGTTCCTGATTTACTCTAAGGCGGCTATTTTTGCATTATTTTAAGGTAAGGCAGTTATTTTGTCTATTTCTTAAGTTTGCCGTACATTTGTTATAATATTCTAAGTGCTTTGTTTTAGTCGAGATCTCAAATAGGTACATCGTACTCTAAAGATCAGTGGTAGGTAGAATTATTTTTGGTACTTTTATGGTTTTAAAATATATGGCCACACTCACTAAATGGACCGACGATCTGGTGAAGGTCGCGGGAAGCACCCGGATGCGGGTAGCGCAGGGCCGGTTGTTGTCGAAATCCTTGAGGGAGGCCTTTGTCCAGCAGTGGACGTCATTTGGCTGAAACTAACGAATGAAAAAATAGCCCAATAAATTCCAATTTATTTAGAAAAAACTGTAATAAGAACCAAAATATCTCTACCTACCCTGATCTCTATTACACATAGTTCCCACTTTATCTATAGCATTGTGACAGTATTATTTTGAACAAAAATACACGAACTAATTCTCCAGTGCCCTATTTTTGGCAGAAATATTTTTGAAAATCCTTGTTTATTCTGAAATTGTTAAATAAAGCAAAAACCAAGTATTTATTTTTCTCCTTAGAAAATAATGACAGGGTATGACTTCAAATTAAAATAACTACGTGTTCTAATAGCAATTTGTTCAAATCTGTTACAAAATGTTTGGGAATATAGTATTTCTGCCAAAAATATGGGCACTGCTGATTTTGGTTGGCGGCGCGCCCATCTTGTTTATGATTTATTCAAACTTGTAGCCAAGTATAGATGAACTACAACGAACGAACTGTCCCACCCGTGACATTGACAGGGGGACGCCACCGTCAATACCGGATCGCTGGTTCCGTTTTATTTTTGCCATGTTGGAAATTATACAGGGTGTTAGGTAAATGGGTATATGAGCCGACACTAGCCCATGTTAACATGGTCATATAAATGGTATGGTGAAGTCAGAAAATTGATATCTCCATTTTAATTATTTTAATTTTCATACAAATCGGATTTTATAAATTTTATTTTGTATGAAAATTTAAAAAAATAAAATGATGATTTCAAATTATCTGACTTCACCATACCATTTATATGACCATGTTAACATGGGCTAGTGTCGGCTCATATACCCATCTACCTAACACCCTGTATAGTTAAACGATGGTGGCGCCCCCCTGTCAATGTGTTTGGTGGGACAGTTTAGTGTAGTTAATCTTTAACAGTATTGGTGGTACTAATAATGTGATCTGTGGTACTAGTGTACAAAATTGTAGCTACCCTCATTATGGTACCGCAGCAAGAAATATGTTTTATTCATAACTGTGAAATGCAGAAATAATTATTTTATGCTGAAATGAAATCAGAATCAATAATTTATAATTAAATATAAGTAAGGAGTTAACACCAATCAAGAAGTGGTGCCTGAAATTACTGATTAAATTATTATTTAATGTAAAATGTTTATTATGTACAACTCTTCAACCTACTACAAAATTACGAATTTCTTCAAATAATTTTGAATTTTACGTCAATGTGTAAAGTTCAATATTGATTGAGGACATTTTGTGGTAGGTTGATACCTCACAGGCGGGCGCGCCGCGGTAGTGCCGTGCCATGTAGCCGCGTGTAGCGTAGCGTAGCGTGTGTAGGTTTAAAATAAACATATTTTTGTGAATTCCTTTCGTTTTATTTCCTTTCTTCTATTTCCTTTCTCCTATTTCTAACCTTATTTCTGTGTCATAAGGTCTAAATCTGCCGTGAAGGTGGGAATTGCCAAACTTAAGTGGCAGTGGGCGGGGTTACAAGTACAACAAGGTCGAGCTAACTGCGTACCTGGCAGTCGTGACGTCACATCGACACTGGTACGGACGGGGCGAACGCGGGGAGGTGTGCGGGTGAGTGCGAGGGAGAGTCGCATTCCAGCGAGGTGCGCACTGCGCAGTTAGTTCGATCAAAAACTCTATTAAAAACTCATTAAAACTCATTTATTTCTGTAAGTAGGCTTAAAAAAAGCACTTTTACACGTCCCAGTATTAACCCTACCACTGCTTCAGGACAATGAATGGGCCAGTGCTGAGAAGAAGCAGCGCAAGAAACTCGGTCATTATTGTCAGCCTCTTTTTCAAAGGTTTACATGCTTTAAAATGTACAAAGTTTTAAATATTTATGCGAGCTAGGCAGTAACGTATCCCAAACATTTTTATCTTTTAAATAATCATCGACTTTATAGTAGCCCTTTTTCATTAAGGTACTTTTAATATGTGCTTTGAATTTATGGATGGGTAGTTCTACAACAGTTTGTGGTAATTTGTGGTAGATCGGGTTGTAGCTCAAGGAACTGGATGGCCGTTCGGGCAAAAAAATTCTCGAGTGGCGACCACGGGCAGAAAGAAGTAATGGAGGCAGGCTTTCCACTCGATAGACTGAGGGTTTTTGTGGTAACCCTTTGTCCAATAGTGGACGTCATTTGGCTGAAACGAACAATTTTTCCAGAATATTTTTATCCTTGTTGCCTAAGAACAAAAGGTAAGTAAATAAAACAGCTGTATAATTTTCTAAAACATGAAATTTATTCCTTAATTCTACAGTGATAAGGCATCAGAAAGGCTGGACGCGTCGTACTTTGTACTGAATGTGGGGCTACTACGATTCCACGACCAATCGAGAGCGTACACTTGAATTTGTATAGCACAGTACAGGTGGCGTCACCTGAAGGCAAGTAAATACTTCTTGTGAGCAAAAAGGCATTTTGAAAACACAGAACGATGTTTATTTCACGTTCTTTACAGATTAAATATGGAAATTATAAGATTGTAACGTCACTGACTATTGAATTCAACATTCTTTTAAAACTTTTTTTTAAGTTATTATTTAACGAATTTCAGACGACATTAACTGACAATAAAGAACATTTTAGCACAAACTAAGATTCTTCTTTCAACAAATTGTTTTAAATCAAATTTCTGTTAAGACAGCACTCAAGGTGACGCCACCTGGTGGCAATTAGACGAACCTTTTCTGCAAATTTTCGTTTACGCTTTCGATGGCGAGAATCGAGTAAAACTTAGTGGGCACACTGAAGAGGCTACCTTATGGTATAGCAGATAAAATTCATTTAGACAGTAGTAAGACTAATTTCTAGTTCACATTTAAATCATAGACAATTTACATTAAGAATTAATTTATGATTAATAATGTTATTTTACATACTCGACACTTATTTAATATCATGTGAAGTAGCCCCTAAAAGTGTAAGATATTTGTAATTTAGGCATTATATCTGTACCAAACATAGTTATTAACAAAATAATTTATCTCAGATATTTCCAATATTGCTATTTAAGGTATTACATTAGTTCTTCACTGCACTATAACATTAAACTATATTCATAAACATCTAACAGAAATTTACAAAATAATCGTTGTTTAGGACGTGCAGATATGATTTTGTTAAAAATATTAGGACACTCACAGATTGGCGTTTTTTGTGCACGTTTAGTAGGTTTTGACGCAGAACGTCATATTCGCAAAATGTCATCGATAATTTGGTGACTTTCGCAGAATTTCATTCACATTTTTTCCACGTCTATATTAAAGATGAATAATTGTGAATGATATTCTGCAAATGTGACCTTCTGCGAAAGCGACTTTTTGAGAGAAAGTGACCAAATCTTTCGCGATGACATTTTGCGAATATGCCGCTCTGCGTCAAAAACCTGGAGTGTATTTCGCACAAAAAACGCCAATCTACAAGCACCCTCAGTGCAAACTTAACGTCCGTGGCAAACGCACACAACACCAACTTGATATGTAACTCAATTACATAATTAACCGTGGTAAAAGTACACGAAGAATATAACGTCTATACATTAAAATTATAAACATCCTACTTAAACGAGTTGTGCCGAAATATTGTCTTTCGATGGAATTTATCATAATTTTTCCACTTATCGTCTTTTACTAGCCCGGTCCCTCTCGTTTTTTGGGTTATATTTCTTTTCAATACTTCATAGTCTCGTACAGCCAGCGTCAAGTAGTTGCTGATATCCAAAGTGGCCAAAAAGTTGAACACAACCTTATTCCAATTGTAACAAAGACGTGTTGCGATTGTGAACCTGGGTATTCTGGATATCACGAACTAGTTGTCGCTGAGACTGTACCAAAACATAACATGTGATTCGTTGAATTAATATAATTTAAACAATCAAACTCGATTCGTCTAAATATTGATTTTCAGCCATCAAAAGTGTACATTAATCTAGACTTTAAATCTATCATTCCTGATATTCCATTGTCTTAAATATTTGTCCATTAAATTATGTTAAATTCCACCGAAAAGTGTTAAAGAGTATTTTTAACAACTAATATTAATAATTGTTAGTGTTTTCCGCCTTAATTTATTTATTTAATACAATTATTAAGTACATTTTTGTTTCAAATAAAACCGTCGATACATGATTTCGATTCTAAAGTTTTTGCAATAAATGGCAAGATTATGTTTAGCTATTTCATAATATTTCAATTGTAGACTGGCAAGCGTCCGTTTTATGTATTTCTAGACAATATACAAGATATAACGTAACGTCTATTTAAGCCAAAACAATAATACAAACTTTTCATTATTTTTGGTAAATAAAATAAGGAAATAAAGTTCAAAATATGGTGGGAAGTATATTCCCACTGCCGAAATATAGAAACAAAACGAACATAGTACAATATAGCGCATCGAGCGAAACAGTTTATTACAAAAATTGCTCTTTTACGGTAATTTAACGTTACCGCTTATAATAACGGTAAAATAACAATATCTTAAACGAAAATAACGATATATTTAATGCAATAACGTTATAGTTATCATTCTCCCGTGCTCTAAAATCCTTCGAACGTTTGCCAGTCTACAATCTAAAGTTGCATTGAAAATAATTGACATCGGAAACAAAATAATTGCTTTCGCTAAAGGGTAATGCAGATCTATAATACGTATTTACAAATTCCCTAATAAACTAGAAGTTACTGTGATTCCTATAGTATTAAGTTTACAGTTTTCAATAATAGATGGCGTTGACTGCGTATTAAATCGCGATAGTGATTTGTGTGATGTTTAACTTTATTAAATGAGTATTGTCAATACATAAGAATCACAATTATTAATATTTATTTACTTTTGAGTGCTAACTATCAAAATTTTGATTAAAACTAGAAGAAATAACATATTTTTTGTTAATTCTCAACAGTAAATATTATTATATCTACACCAATCACACTATACCTTATTTCATTATGTCAGATAAGCTATTATTAATTTTCAAAATATTTTATTTGAGTTTGTAGAAAAATAAATACACCACACTGAGTTTAGTACACTGAGATTTTTTTCATGATTTTCGATAGAAATATTACACGCCAAGAATTTTTTCAGCACTCATATAGTGCCTGAGGCATAGGAGCGGCACGAGTGTTTTCAACCGAC